ACGGCAAGGGAGGGGTGTCCTCTGTCCCGGCTGCAGCAGAGAACAGGGCCCCCGGTGGGCAGGCCCACGCTGAAGTACGAGTTGTTTTCCACTTGGGCTCCCTGTTTTTTATGGCTAAAGTCACCCTGAGGCCGGGCTGAGCGCTGCTGTCGCGTGTCCCCGCGCAGGTCCCGTCCCTCTCCCCTTCCCTCTCTCCCAGGTGCAGCAGGTGTGTCTCTGCAGCCCGACACACGCTCCAGCCTTTGAAGGGGGAAACAAAAACCGGCGCAATTACCGTGAACTCCCAAACGCGGCCGAACCCGGCGGCTCGGGGAGCTGCTCCAGCCCCCTCTTTTAGCACTTCCACGGGCCATTACCCTGCCGGGATTAACAATCCCTGCCCTGCCATCCGCACCTTACCCCTCACCTGCCTCCCCGGCGTGTCTTGTCCCCAGGCACTAACGAAATGACCCCCGCCGCTGATTACAAGTGGGGTGGAGGCTTTGACCGCTGAACCCACACCTGCTCGCGTGGTTGACCTTTAATGGTCCAGCTCTGGAGCTGTGAGCGCTTTAATTTGGGTTTTTTTAAAAGCCCGGTCTAGGAAGAAGCTGGAGTTTCATTTGCCATCAAAACGTGACCCCTGCTGGAAGACCGGGGATGTGGCTTCTGGTTATCCATAAGGACAGTCCCGCATAGGTGACATAGATGTGATTAATGTGACATGTCACAGCTGCCACTGACTGCAGGAAATCACGTATAACTGAAAAAAAGGTTGGCTTAAAAAGAAGTCTTACAGTATTCACCCAGCTGCAAGGGCAAAAAAGTCTTGCTTTGGGATTTTTTCATCAGTGGGATTGGGTTTTACAGAATTACAGGAACCCGTGAGGTTTTCCTGCAGGGCTGTGTGATCCTTTTTTACTGGGGATTCTGTTGGCAGGAAGTTCTCAAAACACTCCCAGTAGCAGCAATGCATTTGAGGATGTAGTTTGTTCCCAGGTTTAGACCAGCCTGACATTTTCCCAATGGCAAAATATTTAAATAAAAACAAAGAGAGCATCAGGCTGGTAGGAGTTTTTTTAAACATACATCCAATTTACTGTGTAAGGAAAATAAATTCGGTTTGTGAAGGCCCCAGGCCTGCCCTGGCTGCCACGTGGGCTGTGTCAGCTCTCTGCTGGCCTCTCTGTGTCCCCTAAAAGGACCCAGCTGGATGAGCATCCCTGCCTGGGAAGGAGCTGATGGTGCTCTGTAGATGGCAAAGATCCTGCAGGAGCAGGTCTGTCTGGAGTGGAATGTCTGTCCCACAGCAAAAAGGGTGTGTGAGGCAGGAAAGACCCCCCATTCCTGGGATGGGATGTCTGGGTACCAGAGGGTGGGTTCAGAACTGAAAGGAGAGCTTGGCTTTGGGGCCCAGGCTCTGTGGAGCAAACAGGGGGAGCCAGGGAAGTCTGGCAGGTGTTGCAGGACCATGAAAGACATTCTTGTAGGAAGAGTTCCCAGCAGTTCCTGTGTCCCTGCTGCAAAGGGGCCCTCGGGGAAGCTTTTTTAAAATCCTAATTCTGAAATGTTTCACTAAGCAAAAAAAGCTCATATTTATCGGATAAACCAGCATATATTCTATGGCTTTAGCTTCTGTGAGCTCTCTTGGGAATGCTCATCCCTGGTTACACTGTCTGGAAGCAGAGGCAGAGCTGCCACACATGGATGGTCTCAGCCTGGAGCAGGGCTCAGGTCGGGTCTCACCCACGGACAGCTCAGGGCAGCCTGAATTCAGAGCTGGCCTCACACCCAGACCGGTGTCACCTTCTCCCAGGCCTTTGAAGGGTATTTCAGGTTTCAGCAGAGCAGCCCTGAGGTTTCCATGTCCCCTGGGAAGCCCCCTGGGCCTCCTGCTTTGATACCTGGTCAGGGAACAGCCAGCGGAGCACAAACCAGGGGCTGCCACAGAAACCTTGGGCTGAGGGTTAAGGGTCAGTGTCAAAATAGGGAAGTGGAAGCTGCACAATTTTAAAAATGTTGTTAGAGACCAAAGACTTCCTGTTTGGGGATCTCAGGGCTGTTTCCATTTCCACTGCAAATGGGGAGAGACTGGCCATAAACCTCATGTTTACTTCATGATTTCTGCTGCTTTCTACATGTGCTGAAATGGTTTTCAGGTGGCCACAACATTTTGTCAAAAATAGAAATGGCAGCTGAGAGAGGAAAAGCAGTTTAATGTCAGCCTGATCTTTAAAAACATTTTCTTTATTGGTACTGAAGGGCCCATCACCACAGTACTGTGCCCAGTGTCATAAATATTCCATTATTCTTATGAATCAACTGAGATTTCAGTGTTTTCAGTTCTTCCTTACAGTCCTCATGGAACATTTAGTCTGTAGTTTTGTCTTTAAAGCCAATAAATTAGCCACAAAGTAATCTCCATGTAACAAGTGCAGCGATTCCAGGTACTCACAGCACTCACAGGGGAAGACCAAAGTGCAACTGTTCTGTGGGAACTTACACAAGGGAACTGTACAGTGTCATTTAGTACCAGAATTTACCAAAAGGAAAGTGGACTAAAAGATACAAAGGAAAAATCTCAGGGAGTACTGTGTAACTATCTGAATTCAGAAATAAGATGCACCAAAATTCAAGTGGACTGGAAGTAACAGCTACAGAGGAAATCCCAAACCCACAGAACAGTGGCAATTCCTGCACCCAGTCACTGGATGCACCTGTGGGCTCCAGCTCCCCATGGAAAAGGAGTTCTTTTAGGATTCTCTGCAAGAGAGGGAGCTGTGAAGATCAGCTGGAAAGGAATTTGGGTCTGCAGAAACTCCCTCAGCCAGCAGTGGTGTAACAGAAGGCTCAGTCCTGCATCCCAGGATGGCCACAGCTGGATCCCCCCTGCATCCCGAGATGGCCACAGCTGGATCCCCCCCACATCCCAGGATGGTCACAGCTGGATCCCTCCTGCATCCCGGGATGGCCACAGCTGGATCCCTCCTGCATCCCGGGATGGTTCACAGCTGGATCCCCCCCATATCTCGGGATGGTCACAGCTGGATCCCCCCCACATCCCAGGAGGCACAATTATCCCAGAATCCCAGAGCATCCAGAGCTGGAAGGGACCCACAAGGATCACTGAGCCCAACCCCTGGCCCTGCACACACACCCCAAGAACTGCTGCTCAGTGATGGCTCCACTGAGTCTTCAGCTCCTCCAGGATGGGGATTCCACAGCTTTTCTGGGAACGGGGGGTGGGTCTGATGCCGGGAATGTCCCGGAGCCACCCTGTCCCTGTCCCTGGGCAGGGAGGGCACAGCCAGGCCCGAGGTGCCACTGCCACCTCCTGTCAGAGACTCACCTGCACACAGAGAAGTTCCTCCAGAGCTGCTGAAGCTCCTGTGTTTGGAATTGCTCATGGAAAGGCTGGATTATCCCAGGCTGCTCCCACCCACCCACCCCCTCTGGCAGGATTTTCCTGCTCATCTCAGCACTGACACCGAATTTCCCCTCAGCACAGTTTTAAACATTCAGCTGAAACATTCAATCCCAGCTCCATTCCTGTCCCATGGATCTGCACCTTGCCAGGGAATGCTGAAACCTCCGAGCTCGGTACCCCCAAGAAGAAAACTCCACCAACAGTTTCAGTAATTCAATAATTTATTCATCTAAAAAAGTGTGTAAAAGTATATAGCTCTCATCCACAAGGTATATATGAATGACATTTAAAATGGAGGTCTTTTATTATTATTGTTTCTTTTTATCAAAGTCTTTTTTCTTAGTGTATTGTACCAGCGATATACTGTAGATTTAAAATGAACTTCACATTTTTTTTTTTGTTTTCTTTCAAATTGTCGGCTATATATAAAAGAAGCTCACTGCAAAATGCTCAGAGGAAAAAAAAAAAAAAAACCCCCAAAAAAAAAAAAAAAAAAAAAAAAAACCAAACCAAAAAAAAAAATTAAAAAAAAAAAAAAAGAACTTCAGAACTCCCCAGAAATGTACAGCTTTTACATTTAAAAAAGGTTCTGAAATATACATACAAGCATGCTGGACATCCCCACCCTCCCCTCCCGTCAGCCCAAACCACTGCCAGAAGAATTCCGAGTTAGGCATGATTTTCCAAAGTTAGAAATAAAAATTTTAAAAAAACAAAAATAAAAAAAAAAAAAGAAAAAAAAAGAAAAAATAAAATAAGTTTCTTCACTCTGTAGGAAAGCCAGGGCTTGTACATTTCAGATTAATTCAGTAAAAAACTCACAAGTAAAATAATGCATATTTAAGGGAAATATTATACAGAACTTTTCACACTGAAGTACATAAGATTTTTTTTTCTTTAAAATCTATTGCCATTCATTTATTTTGCACAAAAACGTATAAATATGTCACCAGCTTCTCTTAACTTAAAAAAATTAAATAAAAGACACCAGATGAAAACTACTCCTTGCTGCCCTTTTTTTTTTTTTATTTCTAATTTTTGCTTAGAACCAGGTTTGTGGGGAAGAAACGCCCCTGGATAAAAACGGCCCATTTAAAAACAATAAACAAAATAATAATCCAAAGTTCAGATGAATCCTGGGAACAAATAACCCCCAAATGGTAAAAGATTACAAATGTCTACTTTACATTTTTTTCCTCCCCAAGTTAAATTTTTTTTTTTTATACAAGTTTACAATCTTCATCTTTTTATGCTCTTCAAAAGGCCTTGAGAATTTTCTTTTCTGATTAAGAAAAAATAGTACTGCAATATTTTTAAAGTCAATTTTACACTGTACACATTAGATACAAATGGTTTGATATCAGATTTTTTTTTTTAACCTATACATTGCAAAGAGGATACGATACCCACGTGGAGGTGTGTGCAGAGAAGGAAATAATCCATTTACAGGCTCCTCCTCTGCCTCCACCTTCTCATTACACAAGCAATTCTTTTTTTTCTTTTTTTTTTTTTAATTATTTTATAGAATTTGTTTTAAATGTTACATCATCTCAAGAAAAATACTTTTTAAAACCATAGAATTTCATTTTTTTAAAATTTTTTTTTTTTATTATTTTTTTAATTATCATTATTATTTATTTTTTTTTTTAACCAGAACACACGAAAAGTCTTTTTTTGGAAGAACTTTTTTTTTTCAAACTCGGTGTTGTTTTGTTTTTTCTTTTTTCTCTCCCCGGACAGGTCAGAAGGTCACTCAGCCTGACCAAAGTGACCCAAGGCCCTGCCCAGTGCACCCCCAAACACGAGGAAAACGGGGCTGGAACTCCCCAAGCCCTCGGAGCCTGGAATGAAGGAGCCATAAAAACCCTTCCCACCGTCCCACCGAGCGGAGCTGCTCGGCCACCACGGCTGGGGCCGCTTCTTCAAGTACTGATTTAACGACAGAACCTTTTTGTTTGGTTTGGTTTTTTTTTAAAAATTATTTCTTTGAAATAATATTCCTATAGTCAGAAAAAAATACACCAGGTTTGCGACTGATTTAGTGTAAACAAACAAACAAAAATCGTGTTTTTGGATATGTACATGGACGAGCGTGCCCAGAATTCAAGGGCCACCTGGCTTTCAGTAAATAGCTTTCTGGCATCACTAAATTTACTGGAAATAGATCTCAATCAGAGCTCTATGACAGATTAATTTACCACTTTCCACTCGCCCTCACACTGGGCTTTAAAGTATTTTTCCTCCCTACCTCTCTCTCACTCTTCTCCCTTAGGTAGTGTTTTCCTTCATTGAACACTGGCCATTCCTTGCTTTAACCAGGCTAACCCCAGGTGAGAATTCCTGAAAATGCAATATATCCTTCCCTTCCCAGCTTGGACACGGCTTGTGAAGAGCTTCACTTTTGATTTCTAGGGCAGAAGAGTGAGAGGTCTGCAGATAAATAACCCCACAGTGGAACGGAGCCGGATTTTGAAGATATTCTACTGTTCCTGGTCCTTTATAATTTAATCCCTCCCCTCCCCAAACCTAAAAATAAATAAAGTATCTCCAGACCATTCATATCTACATGGACAGGTAACAAATGCATGCATTCATCCCGATCCACTCTGACAGGAACTCCAGGTAGACAGAAAACTCCAATATTTATACGAGACTACGACTGTGTGGTTTTGTGGTCGTGGTTTTTTTTCCTCCTGCAAAGTCCCAGTTTACGAAGATCAAACAACAAAACACCCCAAGTGGTCACCACGAGGTGGTTTTGCTGGCAGGGCCGAGCCTGCTCTCGGTCGTGTATCAGTTCCTAATGCAAAAAAAAGATCCTGTAGTCTTCCTTAAAAAAATAAAATAGTAAAAAAAATAATCACACACCGACCAGTAGTTACTGGGCCACCAAACTAACACTGGCTTGAGGTTACTCTGTGTTGACTGTTCTTGGATGTTCCCAGATTTTGGACTGAAGCTGCCGGAGGTGCCGATGGGTGGCTCAGTTCCGAGCACTGCGGGATCCACGTGTGCTCTGCAGGGACAGAAGCACAGCACGGGACTGGTCTGAAGAGAAGCGGAACCGTGGGGTTTGCAGGCTGTGGCACGTTTGTCAGGCCGAGGGGGGCCGAAGCCAGAGGAAGAAGAAGTGCTTTTGTGTCTCTCAGAGGATGTTCATGATGGCGTTGTAGAGCTGGGTGAGCACCACGAAGTGCACGGGCAGGCAGGAGCTGCGGTCCTGGGTGGCCGGGTTACACGTGAGCCAGGACAGCGCGTTGTACTGCTCCAGCACGAACCTGGGGGCACACAGCACTGCTCAGCCCTGCCACACTGACCCAAAGGCACCTCTGACAGCACTGCCAGGGCGGCTGGCAAAGTAGGAACCTCACTGGGAAGCAGGGGAAGCAGAGTTTTCCGTTTTGCAGCGTCTGAACTGGAACCAAACTGGAATGCAGGGCCTCCCCGGCTAGAGAGTGTGGACTCAAAGAGGTTCCAGTGCCACTGTCTTCAAAGCCCTGAGGCTTGAGCACCTCTAAGGTGTTCCACAGCCTCTCTGGGCAACCTGTGCCAGTTTTTGATCACCCTGTTCCTGGGATCCTGTGTCTGATTAGACTTTCTCCTCTTGTAACTTACACTGCATCTCATCCCCTCCCTGTGCACTCACTGCATCCTCAATACCCCAAGACAGCTGTGAGAGCTCAGTCCTCTAAGAGGGTGCAAATTCAGATCTTCTGGAATAACACACCACCAGTTTCCCAAATTAGATTACTCTTCCTGCTCCCTGCTGATACTCTGTTTGCTCCCTGGTGTGTCCTGCACTGTGTGCTCTCACAACACAGACCTGGAGGCAAACAGGTTATCCTGAACAACCCAACATCCCCTCTGTATTAATTCAGGAGCAATGTCTCCTTTACATCCCAATTCCTACAATAGTGGTATCAGGAGGGTACTTTGATCTCCTATAAATCCATTTGGTTGGGTGAGTAAAAATAATCACTGGCACAGCCCAGATTGGACCCCAAGTGAACAGAACAGTCAGTGGGAGGCAAACCAAGGTGTCTCCTTGGTGAGGCTGAGCTGCCTCTGAGTTTCCTTTGGATTGTTGTGCACAGGGGTAGGAAACCCATTGAATTCCCCCTCAAAGCCCTGCCCTGGGGGGGAAGGAGGCAGCAGCTGAAGCAGATGCCCCACTGCCCACAGACACATGTAGGGCACAGCACAGTTATAAACTGCTGATAAAACCCACAAATAACTTTGCCAGGTTGGAAAGATCCCTCTGAAACCCCTGAACTCAGTGCCCAAACCTTTAGGGAGGAAATGCAGAACCTAAAAGGTGTTACCTCAAGACATCTGATGTAGTTTTAGAGTCAAGGGGGTGAGGAACTCGCTGAGAATTTCTGGCAGGTAGGAGCTCGTCTGTCTGCGCTACAGAGATGTGGTGATGCAGTGAGGCCTGTGCAGAGGGAGAAAGCAAAAGTTAATCCTCATGTGGCAGGTTCTGCTCAAGATTCCCAGGGAACAGATCCATTCTGGATCACCTCAGGACAGCAGCAAGTTGGCAGTTCTGGGCTGGACACACCACAACCACATGCATTTCCAAGTTAATGGTTACTTTTTTAATAAACTTCTCTTTTTGACTGGAATCAAGGATCTTTAAAAAAAGAACACTGAATTCTGTTCTGCATGTTAGTCAGGGAGGAAGAGATGAGGGGAACCCTTGGGCTGTGCCAGTGGTTCTTTTGGAGTTCCAGTAACAAACCACGCTGAGTCTCCAGGCTCTCCCAGCAGCAGGGCATAAAAACATAAAACTTCATCTCTAGCTCCAAAATCAGGGTGGTTTATTTTTCATGTTATTTTGACATCTCCCTTGTGTGGGTTTAAAGAAATGCACACACTTGAGGGACGTGTGTCCATAAAGGGCAGAGTGTGAGGACCAAGGCTCTGTGTAGGGACCAAGGCTCTGTGTAAGGCCCAAGGTTCAGTATCAGGACCAAGGCTCTGTGTAAGGCCCAAGGCTCAGTATGAGGACCAAGGCTCTGTGTAAGGCCCAAGGCTCTATGTAGGGACCAAGGCTCTGTGTAAGGCCCAAGGTTCAGTATCAGGACCAAGGCTCTGTGTAAGGCCCAAGGCTCAGTGCTCTGCCCGTGAGGTGCTGCCTGAGCCCCAGCCTGCCATGGTGACTGTGGGTCATTGCTCACATCAGACCTGGGATGGCTTTGTTTGCCTGAGGAAAAAATTTAGTTAAGAGACTTCAAAAGATGTTTAGGATTTCTTAATTAAGCTGGGAGTGGATCAAGAAAGAGGTATTAACTTTATCATTCTATATGTTGTTTGAATGTGATGCCATTCAGGACACATTTTCCCCCTGCTTTTCACCAGCTCACATTTTATGATTCATTCACACGAGAAGCTGCAGGAGACTGCCCAGGGCTCAGTGGATCTCCAGCAGCTGAACCAGGTCTGCTGTGGGTGCCTCACAAGTTCTGGGGGGAGGTCTCAGGTTCACCCTGACACCACAGTCTCCAGTGTGCAACCTGTACCAGCAGGGAAATAGCAATGGACAGTAAGTGCTCCATGGAGCAGGACAGACCTTCAGGAAGAGGGGACACTGGTTCTGTGCCTGAGGGCAGGAGGACCAGAACCACTGTGGAAGGTTCTCAGCTTTGGCAGTCGACACGAAGTATCCCAGGGCCAGAGGCTGCTGCTTCAGCTCTTCGGGGGCTTCCCTGGACAGGAGACGTTCCCCTTGGCTCTGAAAAAGGAGGTGGAAAGGCAGCTCTGTTGGTTTAGGTCATTACATCCCACTCCAGTAACAGTGGTTTTGTTTGCTAATTACTGTCTTATGATTAATGAGCCACCCTTTAGTCATTCATGAATCTTGCTCTAAGTTGTCTAATCCCTTTTCCCCCCTGCAGTTGGTTCTCCAGGCTGATGCTCCAGCAGCACTGCAGATTCCCAAACAGCAACACCAACCTCCTGAACTGGATGGAGAACATGTGGAATTTGATGCTACAGAGTCACTCAGAGGTACCGGGCTCTGGCTGTGACTCTGAACAGCTCCCTGAGTGCCCGTGGAGAGCAGACCAGTGTGGGACTGGGCTTTAGAAACCCTCACAGGCTTCTCCTCTGCACACCCCACCAGCAGTTTGCACTGCACATCTTCCTGCCTCCAGCCCTGGAAGGACGTGCCACACTCCAGCGTGGGAGAACAGAGGATCTGCAGCTGGGTAAGGTTGGCTGTGTTGCTTTTCCAGGGATTTGTAGTGATGGCTTTGGAAAAAACTGCTGCACTTCTGCTCCTGGCTCTGGCCCCTTGCACAGCAGTTACTGTGCTTGGATTACATTTGTATTGCCAGGCAGGGGAAGAGAGAGGAAAATACGTCCTGCTTTTGCACTTATGTCACTTATTCATTTATATATAGACTCCATCTTTGCAGTGTTAGTTACTCATGTTGTTTTATATGGACCAAAGAGTTACTTGGAGAGGAGAGAGTTAAACAACAAGAAATGGGCTGTAAAACTAATTTCTTCAGACTCTGAGTCGCTCCCTGTCAGCAAGTGTGTTTGTGATTCTATTTCTGTGCAGCAAAGCCCAGATGAACCTTTCCATACCAGATGAGCCTTCCATTCCCAAGGCTGTGGGACAGCAGTGCTTGGTGGAAGCTGTCCTGTGTGTGTGTGTACACATATCCTGAGCTGTCATGATCCACAGGGATCTCCTGAGCTATCAGAAGGTGCCTGCCAGCCCATTCCACAGCATATTACTATTTTAAATGTGTTTGGAACACACATTTTGGAAACACTCTTTCTTATTTGACTTTTATTTCATAGAGGAAAACCCCAAAAGATGCCTGCAAAGTGTTTTAGCTTGTAATTTATCCCTGCAGAACTGGGAGAGCAGCTCACTTAATCCATAAATATCTTTTATGTCAATAGGTTAAAAAAAACCCTAAAATATTCCCCTGCACAGAAAGCAGCTTAATCTCCAACCCTTCACTGCAGGTCCTGGTCAGGAATCCCAGGAAGGCAAGCATTCCATGGAGCCTGGAGCAGGCTCAGCCTGGCCTGGGCACAGCCATCAATTATGGGGCACAGGGACAGGCCTGACCTCCCGCCCCACGAGGGGATGATCACACGCTGGGCTTGGTTAAAAACAGAATTACACTGCAATTACCAGGCCTGTGTTAATGGTTAATTTGAATTACTCTGTCCAGGTCTCTCCTGGCCATTAACTCCCAGGGCTGCTCCTGAGCAGCTCCGTGGGGAGTGAGTCCTGGAAAGGTGTTTGTGGCAGTGCTGCAGAACAGACACTGCAGAGTGAACTGAGGAGAAGGAAGTGCCCTGAGTGAGGGGCTGGGATTTCTGGCTGCAGGGTTTGGTCACAGAACTCAGAACCTTTCATTTGCCCCCATCCCAGCCTGCAGTAACCAGGGCCAGCCCCGTTCCTACCTCTGGAGGGGGAGCTGCACCATCAGCACAAAGTGCTGTGGTCTGAGCTCACAAAACAGTGTCAGCACTTCTGAGGCTGAGGCAGGAGCCCCTTCTCCCTCACACTGGGCTCAGCTGCCACTGAGGCATTTTGGCAGAGGCTGTCAGGAGAATACAGACAGGACACTGTCCTTCCAGGGGGTGACACTGCCACCATTTAGCCAGTCGTGTTCAGGGAGTGGGAGTTCCTGTCTCAGGACACCTCATCCCCAGGTGGGAACGCTGGGCTCTGGCAGAGGCTGAACGAGCAGCACCAGTCAGGGGGAGTATCTGGGTTGTACCTACACCTCCTCTCAGTGCCTGCTCTGCACTTCCTCTCCTACCACATTTACACTCTCCCCTGAGACTTTAAAGCCACCAGGGATAGTCCAGATCCACATCCAAGGAAATTATTCAGATCACTAACCCAGAACTTTTAAATGCAGGGGGTTCTCTGTTTCTGGTATAAAAGTTGGGCTGTTTCTGTAATAAAATACTGTATTATTTAGTAAAGAAGTAATATGCTACTGCTTTTAATGTACTACTTTTGGAATAAAACTTCTCCAAAGGAAATTATGAAGCATCAAACTTCTACCTAATTGTGATGGAAACCATTTTAAGAGAACAGCTCAGTCTTACACAATTAAATGCAGGAGTGAGAGTTCCATTAAACCTGATCTAAGTTATGCAAAAGCCAATTCAAAAAAATACCTTGAATTACCACAAATAATTTGCATTTTAAGTGATCACTGATGTTGGAACTGACTTTATAAAAGCCACTTCAAACAAAAATTACTTACAAACACTATGTGCTCTGGGCTAAATATTCCTAAGAAAACAACATTTGCATAACCATCCAGCACCTGTGGAGTTTCCATGGGCAGGGTTTCATCACTGGGAGAATTATCTCCCTTCTTGCCTCCCAGAAATCCCTGGGAACAGGGCTGTCATTGCTTCCTTTCTCTCAGAGACTCGTCACTTTGTGCCAGGGACGTTCTGAGTGATTGTCCAGAAAGGAATGGATGAGAACAGATTGGATTTATGCAGGTCATCAGCTATGGCTCTGCCACACAGAAATAAAGCCTCTCTCTCCTCCTCCTCTCTTCCTCCCAGTTACCTTGTACACCAACAATTAACGTGGGAGATGCAAACAGTCAGTGCAGAGCCCCTTCTCCAGCAGGACTGAACCAGCACCTTCAATGTTAACCTGATTTTTGCTGGCTCTTGACCTAATTATGTGTGAGAACCTACAGGAAGAAGTGATTTTGTTGGAGGATTTGGGTCTTTCTTCGTGTTTCATTTTAAGCAGCAGGTGCCCCACGGTGCTCCAGCCTTACCCTGCTGTGATGGTAGTGAGATCCCACTCCAGTGCCAGATGGTGATCCAGGGGAAGGAACTGGGGAGGAATTTGGTGAAGAGTGAAGATTCCCTGTTATTAAAATTCTAATGTCATTGTCCATGTCATCTGGGAATGGGAGGTCAAACATGTCATCTGAAAAAGAAAAGAAAGGAAAATCACTTCCAACGTGCTGTACTCTCTTTTTTCCAAGACATTTTTGTAATTTATTACCATTCCCTTTAATTTATGATCATTCCCTTTTTCTCTTACATACTCTCCAGGCAGATGAAAGCAGAGATAAACACTTCACTGTTTAATCCTCCTCAGAACCTTTGACTGCAACCGCAGAGACTTGAAAGGGAAAGTTGGCAGAGGAGTGTTGAGATAATGAATTTGAGCAGTGGCTGTGCAGGGAACAGAAATCCTGCTGCACCAGCTCCAGCAAATCCAGGCTGAACTTTGGAACAGAGAAACGGGCACCTCTGCAGCTGCTCACAGAAACCCAGCAACAAACCCCTGAGATCCACTGAACAGACCCCTGAGTGTCACCTGGGCAGGTGCTGCTCCTCAGCCCTTGGGAATGTTCGCTCCCAACGCTGGGAACAGCCCTGGCAGCTCCCAGGAAACTGCCCCAGAGCCCCTGAGCAGCAAGGCTGCTCCCCCTCACGTGGACTTTGGGATTCTTTCACGCACTGCACCAGGATTCCCCACAACACACCTTTTCACATCCTACTCCCACCCCAGGAATCCCATCCAGCTGCATTATCCAGCTGGCTGGTTTAACCTGGGAAGGGCTCTTTGCTGCTCTGAGAAGTGCATTCACTACTCAGGCACTTGCACATGGGTTACAGTGCCATGAGTAAGTTATGGGAGGGAAGGATGAGGCACCAGAAACACGGAGCAAGGAATTACAGCCAGCACAATGTGGGCTAGAGGGGGATTTCCCACCCAGATTTCTCAGCAGGCAAAGATATTTAAAGTGTATAATGACGTTTAAAGTATGTTATAGGGAGCAGAAAGGGATAGTGGGAGCTGTCTAAATTAACTGGATTAATTAGAATTGCAACCAAATTTATATTAAAATATGAAGCCCTAAACAGAAGTCATGCATATCATAATAAATAACAATTTCTCTTGATAAAGAGGAATTTACTCCACATAAAATGGAAAAGGATGTGTGTCCAGAACTAATTTCACCTGAAGTCCAGTACTGAAACAGGCAGGTGGTTGTTTTCTTTCATCTCCTGAGGAGAACCTCTGGATTGCCAGGGCAGTGACTTAACTGAGGTTTATGAACTTGTGTCCTCCAGCCTCAGCAAACAAAGCAGAGCTCATGTCATGCTCTGCTTCACCTCCAAAGCATAAATGAGCTGCCTAATGGCATAGGAAGCAGCTTAATCATTAAGCAGGACAGAGTTAAGAAAATTAAATTTAACACCATTTTGGAAAAGGCCAGTCCTTGTACCTGACTCTAATTAGCATGTGCAGCACTAAAGGGCAGGTTAACCCAGGTTAATGTTTGTCAGCACAGCACTGGGGGGATCCCTCCAAGGGACAGGGATTGAGAGGGGCAACTTCCCTCCATGGGGCCCTCTGACATTCCAGCAGGAACAGAGCAGAGCACACCCTTTCCTTAAAATTGGGCCTGCCCTCCTCTCCAGACTGTGACTGCCCTCCTCACGGAATACTCCTACTGTACCTGTTTGCAGGGACTCTTGGACTAAATTTCTTTGCAATAATTTGTGACAAAGCAGCAAAATGCTCATTCAAGTATTAAGCAGAGTCTTGCTGGCACAAACTGCAGGGCTCAATGTGTGTGTAAAAGCACTCTGGGGGCATCAGGGAGTCTCAGGTTGGGCTACTTTACCTATTTTACAGGGACATTAAAATTCTACAAGTGCCTCCTTCCTCCCAGCTCTGTGCACTGCTGGGAAACAAGCTGGTCTGACCCAGCCACAACAACCAGAAAAAGCATTGTCTAGTCTGTGCCATGGTTGGGCCACATCCCTTTGGGAATAAATCAGTGTGATTATCTGAAAGCAGACTCAGGGGGTCCGTGGGGGTGTTTATTCCCACTTGGTGCAGCTCTGCTGAGGTTCTGGAAAGGCCCCTCTCACCCCCCAGTGCCACTCACCGTTTGTGGGGCTGAACCCATCCTCGTTGGGGTAATTTGCTGGTGCCACCTGGATGGTGGCAGAGGTTGGGAACACCAGGATGTGTGTGCAGGAGGCGTCCTGGGGGGTGTTGAGCTGGGACGACTGCAGGTTCAGCGCCGTGCTCCGGCCAAACACGGAGCCCATGGTGACAGCATCTGCCAGGGCACAGACAGCACAGACCTCAAGGTGCAGCCCCTCCCAAATGCATGGGCTGGGTTAGTCACATTCCTGTCCATCCCACCTGGTCTGCAAGCTCATACACACATTTAAAGGGCCTGATCTTCAAAAGAATAAATTGCTGGAAGAGCTTAAAACTCTGATCACCAGTTGCAGAGAGTGCTCAGCCCCACCTTTCCTGTCATTCTGCTGCCCCTTGATCAAATATTTACTTGCTAAATGAGAAGTCAAATTGATTTTTCACACCCTCTATATAATTATGAAATATACCCCACTTTGGCTGATAAGTAAAAAGCCTCACTTGCCCTCTATTTTCTCACGTTACAAACCCTCTGCTTTAAGATTTTCAAAATATCCAAGTTGATAAGGAATTTTCAAGCTCAGTTAATTCTGTTCCATGTACTAATCTCTTCTTTCTAAGTGTGAAAAAGCCCAGAGTGGTTTGTAAGGATATGTTAAGGGGATGGCACCACATCCATTAAAAATTACGTGCTTAGGTAATATAATAAGGGAATCTCAATATTTAATTTGATTTCAACTTAACCCCGTGGGCTACTGCTATGAGTGAACTCTCTAAATAACTCCAGCACATGAGAAGGCAAGTGGGTTTATTCCCCTTTGCAGAGGCTCCTTCTCTTTCCCACTGCAGACTCCTCCGTGCACGAGGGCGTTGGGAACGTCACCTTCCAGCCCGCAGGAATGGGGCTGCCTGGACCCAGGGAAAAGGTCAGCAGTTCAACAGTCATCTTGTCACTAAGAACCTTATACAATGTAGATTTTAAGGCCTCAGTCTCCCCCCAGGAGCCTGCATTCCCAGGGTAGCACCTCTCCATGGTATTTTAGGGAATTCTGCTGGCTCAGCCTATTTGCTGCCCCGCGTCGCCACGCCAGTCAAGGCCCTCACAGCAATCCCAAGATTACTGTGCTTATGTGATGGGATCAAAGCCCAGATTCCCTGGCATGGCAGCAGCTGGACAAACATACCTGGCATGACCACGAAGGAGCCCTGTGGCTCCATGGCGACCAGGCAGGCACTGAGGATGGACGGGGAATCTGCCGCCGAGATGCCGCACATGCGGCAAACCTCCTTGAGCTGTTTGCTGATTGTCTGCAGGGAACACTCCCCCAGGAGGATGCTCCAGTCTGCAAGGAAAGAGCAGCATGGTAGGACAGAGGGAATGGGGAGCTGGCAGAGCCAGCACTCCCCTGAGAACAGCAGAACACTCAGAACACTTTCATTTCCCCAGCCCCGAACTCCCCCGGAGTGTCTCCCCCGCACACCAGGGGTCTGGCCCTGCACACTGGGTGCTCAAACACTTCCTGCAGTGTTTTATTTTGTTCTGTGGCAGTTTCCCTTTGTTCAGTAACTCTTTTTGCAAGATTTTTGTGTTTGTTTAAGTCGAGGAATCAGAGTTGAATCCTGTCTGTGTTTCTGTGTCACGATAACTGTTGATCACAGCTTTCCTAACGTGTGATGAGGTCCATGACTTGGAAGGACACTGCAGATCCTGCAGGGACTAATGTCAAAGCCAGGGTACAAACAGGCAAGGTGTTTGTGCAAACCAGTGCAGGAGTTCAGTGCCAGGGTAGCACTGCAGCCTGCTCCCCTGCAACCCATGCTGCTACAGCCCAGGAGACACCAGCTTGGAGGATCATGGTGATTTTTCTGCCAGGTACTTCACACTCACATCCACCTGGTGAAGGGGGCATTGATGTGAAGACAACAACGGGGTGGGGGACAAAGAGAGAGGAAAGGCTTTGGCAGCCCTGGTGTAGATTATTATAAACTTCTGAGGAGACAGCCTGGCCAGGCTGGGTATCTGCCTTCCCAACCAGGTTTACCCTCAGTAAAGTCTATCACAATAAACAACAGCTTATCCTGTCTGTGACAGAACTTGGTGCATCTTGTTTAACTTGTAAAGTCACTGTTTTAAGAAGCAGAGACAGGACTCTGGAAGGTTAAGCTAAATACACTCAATCTGATTCACCACGTGATGGCAGAGGGCAGGTGATGCAAAGCTGTGGGGAATGGCTGAGTCCCCACCCCTGGAGTGCTCAAAAGCCCTGTGGATGTGGCACTTGAGCATTTGGGACAGTGGTGGCCTTGGAAGTGCCGGGGGAACAGTTGGACTCGATGATCTCAGAGGGCTTTTCCAACCCAAAGGATGCTCTGGTTCTGTGATGATCCCTCTCAGTGTTTTAGTTTCACAGGTCAGTTCTGAGCCCCTCTGCCATTCCCCACCTTTCAGCTCCCCGTGGCCCAGCCGGCCCAGCCGCCCGATGACGACCCTCCAGGGCAGGGATGTCATCTGGACAATTCCAATGCACCATTCCCAGAGCTTCTGCAGCCCGATCTTCCGGGCAGACAACTTGCTCCTCCTCGACCTGCAGGTTGAGGAAGGGAAAAAACCAGTGAGAAGAGAATCAGGGACAAGATTTCTGTTCTCTATAATTCTGTCACTGCTTACCCTCTGAGGAGTTCCTACAGTTCTGTGCAATCTCTAACAATTTTACTGCTCATAATAGGAAAAAAACATGTGTGTGCTTTCAGTACTGTTGCTGCAGTGACACACAAGAGGTGTCAAACTGCTGAGCCACACACCAGGTGTTCCTAAAGGTAAGAGTTGTAGGTAAAACAGTTGTAAAACAAGCTGTAAAACAACTGTGACTCAGCAACTTCTTCCTCTGCAGATCCTAAATTATCAGAGTGCTGACTGAAGTTATCACTGTGACACTACCACGATCTCTTAGCAGGAAATAGGGCTGGAAGGGATGTGTGTGGGGGGTGACAATGTGACAGGTGGCACGTGCCAGGCAGGGCCAGCAGTACCTGCTGGGCACGTCGATGTTGACGATGCAGGTCTCCAGCAGCTCCCCGTGCAGGTCGGTGCAGGACGCCAGGAGCCAGCGCTGGTCGTGGGACAGGCAGTACCCCACAAACAGCACGTTGTACTTCTGACTGGCCTCCCCAAAGGTCTCTCCCAGCTCTGTCTGCTTGTCTTTGATGGGTGCCAGGATGAAAGGAGGTGAGTACAGCTGGATGGGGCTGGGCCTCTGCAACAGAGAGCACGCGATCGTCAGCAGACAGATCAGAAAGTATTTATCACAAGAAACACTGGCAGTGAGTACAGAGAGAGGCGAGTGTGAAACAGTAAATAAGTTCAAGGCATTCCTAGTCAAGAGAGAGATTGGGAAAAGGAGGGTTATAGATAATTCATTGCTGTAGTTAAAGCTGATGCATTCAAACCTTATCTAAAGACTTCTTTTTATGTACAGGTATGAAACCAGTCCTTGGACCAGCCTCTGACACAGGCAGGAGTTTAAACCTCCTCAGCTGTCAGATGCTCCTGTTCCTTAACCATCTTTGAGGCCCTTGGCTGGATTTGCCCCGTGTTTGTTGTTCTGAGGAGCCCAGAGCCAGAGGAGAGGAGAACCAGCACCTCCCAGCACAGCCCCACTGCCCCTGCCCTGCTCCAAGGGCACAGGGCTGGCTCACACCCACCGTGTCCAACAGGACCTCCAGGTCTCCTTCTGCAAAGCTGCTTCCCACATGGTCCCCACAAAGCCATCTTTGCTCTCTAACTCCTCTGTGGAGAACAAATGTGATGGGCCTGACCAGACATGCTCCATAATTAAGAAACAGTCAGGGTGTTTTCTTAATTTTTCAGCAAAGTTTGGGAGTCTGCAGTGCAGACTGAGAGCAAATGCATGTAGAGATTTGATTAATTAATTGTGCTAAATGCAAGTGGCTCATGAAAACATTTTCCCTTTTTTTGCTGTCTTTTGCATCTTCAGGAAATTAAACATGAAATGCAAAGTGCAAGTTAATCAGCTCAGAGGAAATGTAAGGGATGGTGTTTTCTCAGAGACAGGAAGGGATGTCCAGTGCTTCTGCTCCTGTCCCTTCCTGAAAGAACCATCCCAGCCTGGCAGGAGAGCAGGAGCATCAGTTCAAGGGAGGGAGATGCTCAGAGGAGTCTTGCAATTTTTTTACCCTTCCCCTCACACCTAAATAGCTTCAAGTGTGACTGTGGTAACCTGCTGTAAATCCACCCTGCTGAACAGACACCTCCGAGGGAAGCAGAGGAGGGACTGTGAAAGGGAGGTGCCTGAGGTCAGGCTGCTCTCAGGAATTCCCAGTGAGACGTTATGGATTCCTGTGAGCAGTGGAATGTGCCAGTAGGTTGGGTCTGTGATGATTTTGCAAGTAGGCTTCAAACCCAACAAGCAGGCCTTTATCCCAAGGTAAGTGTTGAAGTGTTTACTGTCTATTAAACCTAAATAAAATATTCACTGTTATCCTTCAAAGAATGCAAAACATTCATAGAAAGTAGGATGGATTATCCTTCTTTTGAAATCCCTGAAATTCCAGAAACGAGGCTTGAATATTTACACTTTAAAAAACAGATGAAAGACAAGCCCGTGGAAAGAGGGGGATTTCTCCATTACCTCAGGGAATTAATATACCATCTGTAATTAGGCACAAGAACTTATTTCATATCTATGCATAAACATGTGCACAGAAATACAGGTTGGACATAAACTCTTGGTGGAGCACTAGAGAGCAAAACCACAGAATGACTCGGAAACCCCAGTAACGATGTGCATTTTCTCTTCTTTCACACTGATCTTTAACCTTTTACTTTATGACTCAAACCCAGGAGCTTAAAATGTTTTGAAAGCAAGTAATCTGACATTTTTCCTACTATTTTCTATTTAGCATTAGCTTGTCTTTTCCCTTTATATTATTCTTGTCTGCTGCACCTTGAAAAAAACGCTCCCGCCCGTGTTTTCTCTGCTCTTGTTTTGATATCTGAGCAAAGTGGTCACAGTTTATCAGCAGCCTTTCACTCCCTTGCCCCCAGTACCAACCTCGGGGTTTTTGAGGGTCATCTCAATGCTGGCAGCTGGCCCAAAGCCCGTGAGGGACTTGATGTGGATCTGGGTGGGCAGGGGCCTCCTGCACTGGCAGTACACGGAGAACGCCAGGGACTTCAAGTGCTGGATGTAGAAAACCTGCTCATCCTTCATTGTCTGCAGCATGTACTGGCAAGGCACAATCTGGGCAAGGCAGACACACAATCAACAGGACTGAAAGGCTTCCAAGGGCTGCTCATGAACATCAAACCAGACCCACATGTCACTGAACACCCAGGGCAGTCGGTGACACCCCGTTATTGGCACCACAGCTCCTGCCAGGGAGCACCCCTGGGGCAGGAACGGCTGCAGCACTGCCTGGGACACAACTGCTGCTCCCATCACACTGAGACAGTGAACTTTAACCTCTTTAATCCTCAGTCCAAAATCAAACACCCCAATTAAAATGCCCTGAATTGTTTAAAAACTGTTTTTGTGACCAACACCTCCGTTTGCAGGTGGCTGAGCTGCACGGTCTCTGCTGTCCAGGCAGGTTTGGCTCCACGGCTTGGGGTCAGAGCCAGGAATTGTGTGTTGGCCACGTGGGAATTGGCACTCTGGTGTCACTCTTAAGGAGTGCAGAGAACACAGTTAAGATGCTGTTACAGTGATTTGTGTGGTTTCTCCTTTTCAACTCAGTAATGATTGGAAGCTCAGCCACCTCATGCTGCTGCTCAGCTTTATTTAAGTCACGTGGAGCAGCACCAGTGAATCCACATGTTCAACCAGCAAGAACCAGAGCCACAGGGAGATTTGCCTGTGAGATGAGTTTGGTGGTTAAGACCCAAACTGCACAACAAGGGTGGGAAGGAGAAATGGCACAGAAGTAAACAAAGCATGACAAAAATCAGGTTTCCAGTTCAGATACATTTTAAGATTAGAATTAAATCCCTGTAACCTGATTGTTTTAAGGTACTGTTTTTATTGCACAAGTCCCACACATGGCTCTGGAAGCATCTTTCCTTTTACAGTGAGAGCAGGAACTGTCAATGCAAACATTTCTGTTGTAGCCAACACTGCAAGACCCAAACAGACTCTTTCAACAAATATTTTCAGCAGTAATAAAATTTAAGTATCACAAAACTTTTACTACTTTATGGTTCTTGCTTGAACCATGAGAACTTTGGCAGCACGTTCCATTACTAAATGTGGCTGTGTGTTTTTAAAAGACAGCTTTACCCAGGAACTCCAGAAGCTGGGCTTTCCCCTCTGGATAGGAATTGCAATAAAGCTGCAAACATTTGGGGTGGATTTATTCTGAAGTAACTGCATATTTGGGTGTGCTGTGGTACAGCTGTGAGAATGTGGTGCTGGGAACTAGATCAGTTACCCTTTACTTAGAGAAAACTGCTGTTTTGACTTAAAGTGGCCAACTATTTTGAGGAGCAAACAGTAAATGCCCAGAAAACAAACAACACTGAGAAAAAGGGTCAGTCCCTTGCTTGTCTGATCCAGCCTCAGATCCAGTGTCGATGGGACATCACAAGAACTTCCAATTCTCTTTTTTTTTTTTATATATATATATATATATATAATTTGAAATACTTGTGAGCCAAGGTGAGCACACCTGAATGAGGCCCACAGAAACCCTTCCCACACTGCTTCCTGCAGTGCTGCACATGGACAGGCACAGCCTGTGCCCTCTGGCCTCCCGTTCTCCCCACAGTTATTCAGCCTCTGGCACAGAGCAGCCCTGGCAATGCAGGCAAGGCTGGGCAAGAGGCCAACTGCTGCTTCTGGCTGCACAAATTCAATTCCTAAGCAATTCCAGAGTAAGTAACTATTATTATATGCCAAGTTACATGGTAAATTATTTTTAAGCAGCAGATAATAACAGTACAATAGTTATATTATGCATTAAATGTCTGGTTTCACATACTTCTTTTGGATTAAACAGCATAAATCAAGGGAATATAAACAGCAAACAACTCAACATGTAGAGCAATCAAAGGAGCAACTGGACATTTTTGGCAATGGCAACTCAAGTTGCAACTGAAATAACTGCAATCCCTCTCCAGGAAGCACCAGGAGACAGATCTGACACAGGGATACTGGGGCTGCTTTCAATTTTTCCTCATCAAAAATCAAAGTTGGGTTTTTTTTATATATATAACCTTGTACTGCCAAGAAAACAATTCCTAAATGTCACCCAAAATATCCCATGTCATCTCCCCCCTGTGCCTTTCAGCACCGTGTGCCACAGACGTGCTGTGACGGGGGCACCGTGAGGACGCGGGGGAAAGGCAGCGCTACCTGGAGAATGAAAGAATTCCTCATGTTCTCAGGCAAGTTATCCAACATTTCTGTGTAGCATCTCATGAGACTCAGGAGCCAGAAGTTGGCTGAGGCAGACTCCTCCTCTGCAGTGTAGGTGAAGGGGTCCACCATGTAGATGACCACGGCAGGGGGGTAGGCGTTGCTGTCGGCGGCCTCCGGCTCCGTGGGGACCCCGATCCGCTCCCGCTCGGGGACCCTGCACACACACACACACACAGAGGGGACAGGCACGGGAACAAGGGTCAGTCCTGCTTTTCTGAACACTCTGAGGGGCTGAGGTGGTGGTGGGGAAAAGGAAAGTACTGAGGAATCCTCGTGCCCAGAAGCAAAACTAAAACCCACGATGACAGCGACAGGCGGGACTTTTACTCACTGCAGTTCCTAACCCAAAATACCTGGGTTTAGTTATGCATTAAAGATACACAGAGTCTAACATAATCTCATTTAATGCAATCAGAACAGATTATGTCTGAAGATTATGGAAGAGCTGACTGCTATTAGCTCTGTGAGTTTTCATGTAGGTGCTTGCCTGGGTTTTGGTGCAGTTTAGGGTTTGCTTTTGGGAGAGGTGGAGGGAGGAATCGAGCACAACAAAGCAATATTCACGGAGCCTGAAGTCCTGTTCAGGCACAGGGAAGGTTCCAGTGGTAATGGAAGGAGCAACTGAACATTTTTTACTTGGTAAAATGCTCCTCCAACCCCAACCATGAGCAGGAGGCTCAACATCTGTAAGTGATCAAAGCAGCTCAGACTTTGTCAGAAGCTGCTGCAGCTGCTCAGAGGGTGTTTTGCAGGGATCAGTGAACAGATGTCTCAAGGACAACCCACACTAGAACAGGATGTGGGCTTTTCCCTCAACATACAGGAACTCCACAACACACACCGTGACTATTAGCAATATGCATTATTATGAGAGTAATGAAAAACATGTTCCCTCAGGAAGTTACTTACACACAATGTCAAAAAACCTTTCCCTAATTTTTATGTTTGATGGGTGGCTGTTCATAGTGAAGTCTTTAAAGGAGTTCTGCTGCTGAAATTTATTTTAAAGTAACAGGACTCCAACCCTGTTTCCTGACCTCACAGTGTACCTGCCTGAAAAACAACACCTGCAACGCAAGAAAATTAGAAAAAAAAAGTAATCTGTGGCTTGCACTTCGCATCTGTCAACATTACAGGTGTGATGGAGCAAGAGGCATCCAGCTCCACGGGATATCCTGCAGTGCCTGACACGGGCAGGCCGAGCCAGGTTTGGCACAGCACCTGAGAACCCCTCTGTGTTGGTGGTGCTGCAAAGACAGGCCAGGTGAGGAATCCTAGAGATCCAACACCCCCGTCCCTGCAGCTGAACCAGGCTTTGACTGCTGTAACAAAACAGGGGAGGGTTGTTTTTCCAACTCCCCTTTATCAGGGACTCCTACAAACCACCCAGAATGGGCCCTGCTCCACTCCCACCTGCCAGAGGGGCCTCCCCTTTCCATGGGACTTAAAGGTTGTGAGCTCTGGGAAAGGACGGAAAGGACAGTGGGTGTAACGAGGAGCACTGTGAGCACTTCAGCCACTTACCCTTCCTGCCCCTCCTGCTGCTGCTGGGGCAGGCTCTGCCCCTGCTCCGTGTCGGCCGCGGGGACGCTGCCCTGGGATCGCTCTGCCGGGCCCGCCCCGGCACCGCCCTGCCCGGGGCCGGCATTCCCGCTGAACCCGGGCGTGGAGGAGCTGCCCGGCATCTGGGCAGTGCTGGGGGTGGCAGAGGACGCTGACAGCGGCACGGAGGAGCCAGAGGAGGAGGTGCTCCCGGCGGGAAGGCTGGTGGTGCCGGCGCTGGGCGTGGAGCTGAAGGAGCTGCCCGTGGCCGGGGCCCCGGCGGAGAGACACGAGGGGTTGGAGGGAGCGGGTCCAGCGTTCCCGGGAGCTGCCTGGGCCTGGCTGGCTGGGGCAGGGGTCGGGTACTTGGGGGGCAGCAGCAGGCTGCTGTCCAGCTGCAGGGTGGCTAAGTAAGGTGCTGGAAGGAAAAGGAAGAGGAGAGGGGGTTAGTGACAGTCCCATCAGAGGAACCTGCAGCAACCAGCAGGTCAGACAATGCTTTCTGTGCTATTAGAATGTCCTAAGAATATACAAAAACCGATGGATTTCCACTGTAAATGTTTGCTTTGGAATACGCTCTTCAGAGCTTCAGTTCTGACTGATATGAATCAAATGTCTTAAAAACAGGGCTGACTTTGCAGAGCTCTGTCACTCTGTGATTGACACATCCCGATCTCTGCCCAGCCCGTGTTGCAATAACAGTGTTACACAGTGCTCAGCTCTGCAGTCTAGGACAGGTTATCTCTGTCAGGCTGAAAGCCTGGAAGTCCTTTTTGTCTGAGGCAAACAATGGCAAACTTTATTATAGTTATTTCTGCCCCTCAGTATGAGAAAAAGAGAGATCACAGTGATTATTTACAAGTAATAAATGAAAATTTCTTATTTATTCACTCTCAGAGGTGGTAAATCACCAGGGGGGAAGGTTCCAGTGCTGTCCTGCCAGATGCCTCAGGGGCTTGGAGCAACCTGGGATAGTGGAAGGTGGCCCTGCCCATGGCAGGGAGTGGAACGGGAGGAGCTTTAAGGTTCCTTCCAACCCAAACCACCCCATCATTCTGTGATCTTTATGATATACAAACACCTTATACCAAACTGACTGCTTTAAAGAGGTAAGAATTGGCTTTTGAATCTCTGACACGATCCCCAGGGTGATAAACAACAACAAGAAGGAGGCAAATTTAACACGGAAGGATTAGGAAATTAAAATAATAGCTTTTTAATTTTTAATTAGATGTTAATCTGTGCCTGAAAATTCCCCCCCTCATTTCCACCTCCTGCAAACCCCCCTCCCAGCCCCCCGAGCAGCCGTGGCCGGGACTCACCAAGGTGATGGCGGCAGACCTGGGCGTAGAGTTTGAGCCTGGAATGATTGTCCCCGTCCTCGGAGCCCCAGGGCTGGGTGAGCCACTCTGTGCCCAGCTCCTCGGGCAGCGTGGGGGCCGCGCTCCTGCCCACCCGCAGGATCCCGTCGCGCAGCACTTTGCAGATGGGCTTGTGCTGGCCCAGCCTGCACATCTGGGGAGGGAGAAGAAATGCTCGTGGGGAGATGCCAGGCACCTGGTTGGAGCCTAAACCCTTCGTCCCCAGCACACGCCTCAACAAATGGATTTTAAAAAAAGGCTGCGTTTGACTGTGGATTGAACTGCAGTCACAGCAGAGCTGAAAGAAGGGCAAAGGGGGGCAGCGAGGCTGGGAAGGGGCTGGAGCAGCAGGAGCAGCTGAGGGAGCTGGGGGGGCTCAGCCTGGAGAAAAGGAGGCTCAGGGGGGACCTTCTGGCTCTGCAACTCCCTGACAAGAGGAGGGAGCCAGGGGGGGGTCAGGCTCTGTTCCCAGGGAACAAAGGACAGGAGGAGAGGGAATGGCCTCCAGCTGTGCCAGGGGAGGCTCAGGTTGGACATTGGGAAGAAGCTCTTCCCAGAGAGAGTGATCAGACACTGGAATGGGCTGCCCAGGGGGTGGAGCCACAGTCCCTGGAGGTGTTTAGGGACACACTGGATGTGGCATCAGTGCCATGGTCTGGGTGACACGGCGGGGTTGGGTCACAGGTTGGACTCGATGATCTCAGAGGGCTTTTCCAACCTGGTTGATCCTGTAAGGAATCAGGCACTGAGGATTACAGCACCTGCACGCTAAAACAATGAATGGCTTTATGTCCAGCTTAGCAGTTATGAGAAAGCAGCTCCTGAGTCTGCCCCTTGCTCTTTAGCCTTGGTTGGGCCATGGCTGAGAGGCTGCAGCTGCACTAAAGCCACTGCCACATCCTCTGTGTGCTGCAAAGTGCAGGTGGCAACACACCCCCCAACCTGCCCAGAGAATCACAGTGTGACTCAGACAGCGCTGCTGGAGAGCCCTCAAAAGGAGAGAAACCCCTTCTTCAAACAGTTGTTACTTTAACAAACACGGATTTCTCCTGGTGACCATGCACTGGGGCAGAAGTGACACTTGGGAAGCAATAACTCAGCGTGGTTCCCGTTTCCAACCTCGTATACAGCGCTCAAGTCCCTGAAGAAAGTTTTGGCTCCGTCGAGCAAGGCCTCGTTTTCCGGACACACCACGATGTAGGCGACGTCCCGATGGCCCCCGTATGGGTCCAGCAAGAGCCTCTCCCAGAAGGGCAAGGAGAAGGGAGAGATTGTCAGGAAGTCCTTGTCATAGCCCACGAGTAACGTCGGGATCGGGAGAGGCTCCGGGGACTCCTCAGAGCCTTCCAAGGGAAAATAAAGAGAGAAGAAAGGTTAAAATAACTGGGAATCGCTAATCCTTTGCCATGACGAGTCTCCTGCAAGTCTGATCATCGAGTGGAAATGTGTGTCAAGGGTGTGCCATCCCTATAAACCATGTTCTCACAAGGCCCTTCTTGGAAAATATATTCCACAAAGGAAAAGAGATTTATCTGTCCTTGAGAAATGTCACAGAATCAAAGTTCCGTCGGCCAAAGTGGAGGGAGCTGATCCAAGCACCACTTTGACTTCCCCGGAAAGCTGCAATAAAACATCTCCCAGTGTACTCTGAATACAGGTACTGCCCTTCCTGAGGCTTCATGTCCTGGTTTTCCTTTGTCACATCCATAACCACAGCTCAAGAGTTCCTGTTCTGTCACAAGTAATAACAGGAAAACACAAAATCTGATCTTACAGTTCCTCACCCACCTCCACCTGGTTGTGCAAAATTACTAAAGCTCAGGCTCATTTATTCCCAGGTACATAATACCACACAAAGTTATCACAGTTCCATAAATTGCCTCCCACCCCCCTCCACAGGATGTGCTCTGAGCACTTGTTGTCCCCATGGAGAGGATTATTATCCAGGGTAACAGGGTGACTCCCAGACACCGAGCTCAGGGGAAGATATATTGCTGAAAATGTCAAGCAAAAATATACCCAGTAGTTTCTGCAGAATGTAATTCGACTTTATTAAAAAGTTCAGTAAAATTCACTGACTCTCCATCAAAGGCTCTGCTCCGTACTCTGTGGGAATTTCGGTTTTATTCTCTGGTAACAATTGGCAAATCCTAACTCTTAAAGTCACAAATTATTAGAAGTACTCCAGCACAACAGCTTCAGTCAGTGAGTCACCCCCAGTTGTCCCAGCCCCAAGGAAAGCCCCAACGTATCAAATACCAACAGAGAGGAAGCTGTAGTGAAAAAACTAACCAAGACTGCATTGGTTGAGCCTGAAATAAGAAATACAGATTTAAATATCAGTCATTATTCTGCAAAGGTGCACATGGCAAAATCTGGTTTGTAATTTGGATTTCCCAGAGGTGTCACAGACAGATCATTAAAACAAAACTTCTTATTAAGGCTATGGGAAGCCTTAGAACAAGGAAACCCCTGTGTGGAGAAAGCACCCCCGAGTTTTGTGGACTTGCACAGCTCACACAGCCCCTCTCCCCATCGGGCTGTGGCTGATTTTAGCAGCCCCCTCTGCTCACGTTGTGCCTGCACCAGTTGCTTCAGTCTGAGCCCAACCCCACACTCAGATGGGGGCTGAGCCTCACCCACCCCTTGTGCCCTCTGTAAATGTCCCTCAGTCTGGAAGGGTAAAGCCTCCACCACACTGTTCCAGATGTGCTTCAAATGCCTTTCAGAACCCTACAAAGCCATGTGAAGAGCCCCCCATGATCCCAAGCTGTATGAAGAGCCCCCTCCTCACACATTTCCAGAAAAAAGAACCCACTTCCAGGAAACTGCTTTCATTCCAACTTGGCATGGCCCACAGTGTACCTACCGTAGGTTCCCCGTCCTGCCATCTTATGGAATTGCTGCCAGGTGAGTGGTCCCTGCACGTGCTGGATGTTCTCCCAGGTCCTTCCCGTTCTCTTCTTCTGGATGGCATCCTGGAGGAAGGGCTGGAGCGAGAGCAGCATGCGCACCACGTCCTGGGAGGAGAGCATGCTGATGTCCAGCACTGCAAGGACAAGGAGCACCATCACTTCAGGGAGGGACACCAACAATCCTTCAGAGGGGACAGCATTTTCTGTGCATTGTGCCTTCCTACTGCTCTGCACGCTGCCCATGGAATTTGGGCAGCTCTAATAACCTAAGGGCATTTAACGTGGGGCTTTCTGAAAACAATGCTGCAAAGAAGCTGTCACCACAGCCTTTACACACCTGTCAGTGCTACAGTTGCCAGGCTCAGCTCACAAGATGTCAGAGCATCTTTAAACAGGCAATATTTAATTATGAAATAATTATTTTTCCCTCGACACTTTTTTCCCCTAACTCTCGTGTACAGAGCGGTTCTCTTCTGCTGACTGCTTTTTTACCCTTCTCCAAAAAATGAGGGGCCATAATCCTGCCTTCCCCCAAATACCTGGATTTGTTTTGCCTCTCTGCTTCACATTTGTGAATTTCCACACAGACTCTGTCACAATTTAGGCCACAAAGTCTGAGGACAACGGGACTATTGGTACTTGAGATGTAACCAGATTATTGGTACCTCAGATCTCATTTATAAAGCTTGCAGAACTCTCCTTTATTTCTAGCTTTTTCTCAGGCCTGTCACTTCCCACATAAAGGTTAAGCGGGTCACGACTGCCGAGATCCAAACGAATTCCAGGGCCAGAGGGTGGGTTGTGCCCCTACCGTTGCTGTGAGGCCAGGAATGGACGGTGGCACTTCGTACGAGGGCCTCGTCCACCTTGCCCCCCGTGGGGTTGTCCACGTACTGCCGGCCCTGCTCCAGGGCGTTGAAACACTCCACCCAGGAGTCGTTGCTGTCGGCCTGCAGCCGGTCGTAGCTCCAGCTCGTGCAGGGCAGCGCCTGCCGGTTGTTGGAGGACATGTAATCCAGGCAGCTCAGCGACGTGAAGGGCTGCGTGTGCTGGTTCTGCAGGAGCAGCAGGAGGCTCATGGGGGGCTCCTGGCTCCTCCTGGCTCCCTCTCCCATCTGCGACATCAGGCCGCTCTGACAGACCATCAGCCTCCGCTCCGCGGCCTGGCCGATGTCCGAGGTCTTGCCGAAGATGTCGAGCTCGTCCTCGATGAAGAGCCCGGAGTTGTAGCCCAGCTTGCGGTTGATGATGGCGCTGAAGCCGCAGGTGCAGCGGTACTGGTCCTCGTTGGACGAGTCCGGGATGTAGAGCCCCACGTCGGCGCCCTTGATGTTCATGTTGCAGGCGCAGACGCAGCAGCTGTCGAAGTTCCTGTCCTTGAAGATGTTGAGCACGGAGTCGGAGAGGATGAGGGTGACGTACAGGCTGTGGGCCTCGGGGATGGGCTGCACCGTGCCCGGCTCCACCGAGTTCAGCGGCCGCGTGGTGGAGGGGGTGGACGCGGGGGAGCCCTGGTCGGTGCTGTCGTACTTGACGGAGCCCTGGCCGCTGGCGGTGCCCCCGCCCCGGGGCGTGCGGGGCGTGCGGGGCGTGCGCGGGGTGGGCACGGAGAAGCGGGGGGTGGCGGGGGACGGCAGCACCCCCGCCCCGCTGTTGCTGGCGGGGGCCGCGCTGTTGAGGGTCACCGGGGTGCTCATCTGGGGGGTGCTCATCTGCAGGTAGTCCTGGTCCGCCAGGCTCCCCACACTAGGCACGTTGCTGCAAGGGAACACGGGAACAGGGTCACATCCCGTCACAGACGGGGAAACAGGCACATCTCATCACACACTGGGAAACAGGAACATCCCATCACACACTGGGAAACGGGAACATCCCATCACACACTGGGAAACAGGGGCACATCCCATCACACACTGGGAAACAGGGTCACATCCCATCACACACTGGGAAACAGGGGCACATCCTATCACCAGCTCATCGGTTGTGGAGATTGATTTGGTCAAAACTCACTTTTAAACACAAACTGGTCAGTTGTGGAGACTGATTTGGCCAAAGCTCACTTTTAAACACAAGGAGATGGTGAAAACTGAAAGGACTCGTTGAAAAGTAGTAAAGAACACTCTGCCCACCACCTTGACTCCTGTCTCTCAACACAACTTGTAATTCTCACCACGAACACCACTCTTTCCTATTATTATGATAACAGGTATCATCTCAGGCACTTCACCCTCTCAAAGATTATTCCCATGGCCTAAAACTCAAATGCTCTTGAGAACAATCTCTAGATAAAATATCAAGTTAAGATTTAGATTGTTTGTAAATCTTTTAGGGAAAAGAGAAAGAACTGTAGTTGTTATTTTAAACATTATTATCCATGAAGAGATACACAGAGGAGTGGAAATGAAGAGAGTATTTCAGAGGCATCCAAATGTTACTCTGTTTTAAAAATCACCCCTTTAAACAGCTGCCACAAGCCCTGCTGTGGTGCTGATACAGGACACCACTCCCAGTGACACACAGCTGGTACCAGCATGTCCCAGGCTATAAATTCAAACCCTCCTTTGGGATTACACAGCCCACAGCCCAAAGGGACACGTTCCATTACAAACTCTTAGTCCTGTAAAGCTCAGAGTTGTATCTCTGGGTCATCTCCATTCCTGGCTGGCTTTTATTACCCTGTTTTGTTCTTTTCTGCCAAATTCAAGCGACCACAGAACAGTTGGTACATTCCCATGGGATCCCTCCTCCACTGCAATGACTCCTATCAAGACACAGGTGATATGGGGCCAAACAAAGACATCCTGACTCTTCCCTTTCCAGGTCACCACTAAGCTGCTCACTCCTCTTGCCATGTGTTCATTCCATGTTAGGGCAAGGAAAGGGTGTGAGGACTCAGTGAGTCCCCGGATGAAGAAGGGGAAACAGGATTTCTCCATGTTTATCTGCTCTCACAGTGTATTACTGAAGAGGACCATCATTTGAATGCTCACATATCATTAATGACTTGAAAAGGAAAACAGTGAGGACCTTATTCCTTACAATCATTTTATTACCTTGAGCTGATGTGAGTCCAACTCAAAGCAGGAAAGGGAAAAATAACGAACCAGGGTTGAAGGAGCTGTGGAGCTGAAGCACAGAATGCCTCAGACTAATAAGAAAAGGTGACCTAGAAACCTTGATTGGCAATCACCACTCTGTGGGAAGCCTGCAGTAATAATCCTCACTCTAATTGGATTAGATTGAAAATGAAAGGGGTTTTTTCCCCAACAAATACCTGAAATTAATAACCAGCTCAGGCCCGGTGCATCAGTTACTATTATGAACAAACCTGAGAATTAAATTGCTCCCCAGGCACTGTATCAAGGGTTTACAATTTCTTCTTTGCAATTCTTTTGAGAGCACTGAAGGATCCTTTGGGGCTGGAAAAGGACTGATTTAAAGGATTTACAGACTGATTTAAAGATACAGACTACTTCCTCCAGAAATGAAGCAGTGCAGCAGGAGACCTTTGTACTATTATTCTGCCTTTTAAGGGGTTTTATTAATTTAATGGTGCAAATTCTTGCTTAGCTTTCAAAACCTCCAGCAATGAATTTCCTCCATAAACACTGCTCATTTCTGAGAACTGAGTGAGGAATACAAGCCTTGAAAATTAATGTCAGTGTTTCCTTACAGGTCACACCACTCTTGTACTTGGCATCTCTTCTTTTGGTATCAAAGAGGGCAGGACAGCACAGGACAGGACACAGACCTGTCCCAGGTCACCCACTCAGGGAACACACAGGAGCTCACCAAGAGCACAGAGGAGCTCTCACAGCCCTTCTCAGCATCTTCAGAGCCCTCAGGAGGCAAACTGGACTCACCAGGGGCAGAGATCATCTGCCTGGAGCTCAAACTGAGACACAAGTACCGACCAGAGGGCAGCCTGACTGGGCTGGAGATGGGAAGGGACAGACATGGAAGGCTCAGTGCAGTCATTTTGTTCCCTAACACTTCTGGTTTATGCTAAATCACAGTCTTTTCCTGTACCAGAGACTGCAGTTAATTCAGGCCCTGCATGTCCCTGTTCTTTAGAAGCACTAAGGGAGCAGTGGACACTGCAACACCCCTGACTGCCAAAGGCTGGGTTTAAATCACACCTTCCTGAGACCAGAACTGTGCTGATCTCAGACAACAACAAATCTAAAAGGTTTCAGTTGCTTTTGCAGGTGAAAGCTCTGTTAACACAGACAGCCATTGCAGTCCAGGAGTCATTTTTAGGCAGGGGCTGCACTCACTTGTAGCCGTCTCTGATGAAAGTGGCTGCGGGCGGCAGAGGGAGCTGCTCGATTTTGGGAGGAACAGCCCACGAAGGCCTGAAGATGCAGGTGTCTGGGATCTTCAGGGGTAGGAGGCACTGGCTGGGCAGGATCTTCAGTGGAGCAAACAGGGAGGAGCCCACGAAAGGTTGAAATGATGGAACTTTGTGCACGTACGAAAAGTCCTGAAACGCCAAAGCGACATCGGTTACAACCACACGGTCAGGTTGGTCTTCAGATGTTTAAACTGAAACCCTTGTACTGTTTCAACCCTCTACAATTGCTTTTCCCCCCCCCTCAAATTAAGGATATTTATTCATTCCACAAAACATTCAAGAGCAGCTCCTTCAAGGAAGCTCAGCTGAGGCTCCCTGTTATCCCGGGATGCTGCACAACCTCATGGCAGGAGGTTCACGACTCCAGCAGGCTCATTTAAGACAAGCTCTGTCTGAAACACTGTGAAATTTTCACACTACCTGACTTTAAGCACCTAATTTAGGCACTTGAAAGATTGATCTTTGCATGACTTCTGTCCTGACAATGAGTCACAGTGTGAAGAAACCTGAGGTGCCTTGAGGCAGCCTCTGAATAACCCCACAATGGGGATTCATAGAATTTTAGTAAGAACACTGGACACTTTGCACATGCCAATTATTAAATCTAAATAGGGTATTAAATACAAATATCTAAGCAATCTAGCAAGTATAAGATTAACTATAAATGAAGTTCAGTCAAGCTGGGCTTTCACTGACTGCCACTTTTGCTTGCAGAGAGCAATGACAAGAACTTCAGCCAGCGTTTCCAGAGCTATTCCAAGCCTCTTTCAGAACAGAACTAGTCCTTTTGAGGCACTACTGCAAGGTAGAAATTAATACTCAAACAGTTAACAGCATTTAACATCTCCTTATTTCTTTGCATTTTTCCCTTGCACCTTGTCAAGCACTGAGAGATGAGGAATGTTTGGATTTTATCTCCAGCTGCTGAATATTCAGCACAAGGAATCTACTGCCATGTTCTCAACATGACCAGCAATGGGTTCAGTGCCTGTTTCCCCCACTGGTGGGTATGAGCAGGGGTGACACACTCAAAAGCAAGTCAGCTGTGCACTGGGAAATGTTCTCAGGCAGAATTAAAAGGTGTATTTTAATAGTCCTACAATGGTTGTGAGGGAGATTAAAATATCTTCATCAGTATCAATGATGCCCTACAATCTGCTCCCACTCAAAACCTTCCAGCCCAACGAATTCCAATACAGGTTTCCTCTGCAGGCCCAAGTTATCCTGTTCTCAAGCAAATAGTTCACTGCATGAGCAGAGGAGAAAAACCAGCAAGGTCTGTGGCAAAGCCTCACAAACCTTACAAAAATCTTATTTCAAACTTCTCTAAAGGTACAGAAACAGGCAGAGGCACGGACATGGTGACAGCCCAGCTGTCCTGCAGCACAGCCAGGAGGAGGTGCCTTTGCTCCACGTGCCTCCAAAACCCAACAGCTCTTAGGGAAGAAGTCCCCCTGTGGTTTGCCAGCGCTTCCCTTGCAGTCTGAGGGATTCTATCCCTGCCAGGCAGGAAGATGTACCAATTCCCAGCTGACTACATCATTTATCCTAAATATAGGGACCTACCAGGGTTCTCACATCAACACACACCCAATTCTTGCCCACGGAACTGCAAGTGCACCCCTGTCCCAGCAATGGAGAACCCTTAGAACTCAGCCTTCAGTTAATTCCAGCATTCCCAGGAGCACAAAAGACAGGGGAGGAGGTGTTCTGGGGAGAGCCCATTCCAGAGAAGGAATGGGCTGTGGCAGATGAGGGACAGGGTGGGCCTGAAGGAGAAGAATTAGGCTATAAAATCAAGGCTTGGGGACACCAGGAAGTCAGAGTTTTACAGTGGGCATCTCCCTTTTATTCCCTGTGTCCAAAGGAACGAGGGGATGTGCATCTCTACACAAAATGTGCATTTTTGGATGAAAAGCCCCTCAGGCTCCGTGCATGGAAATATGGCCACGACACCTTCTGACCCCAGTGACAAAAACTGCCCCTGGAGTTCAGGAATGCAGGACACACACAGGCTGAATGGTTTTATCCTCCTCCTCCCCTCTGAGGGAACAATGACACACAATCCATGCACACCCAGTGCTGATGCTGAGGCCCTTCATGGGATGCTGTGGAGCAATGGGCACATCTGGGAGGGGAGAACCAGCGGAGCCCCCGTTCCCAAACAGCCCTTTCCTCAGAGAGGAGGAACTGTGTGACATCACCTGACCTGTGTCACACAGAAAGCCAGGTAAGAATGGTCCCACCTGGCCTTAAAACTTGGGAAGTAACATCAGCTGAAGAGGAAACACAGCAAGTTCAACCCCTGGGCTTTCTCAGAGAGTTTCATTCCTGACCAAGAAAGGAACATTTCAGAGGGAAAAGGGCACCACTTTACCCCAGCTGGGTCCCCAGCAGGGAAGGTGAGAGGGCAAAGGTGCTACAGAGAAATTAGCTGAGGAGACACATCCTTTAACAGCCACTGAGGCACAGGGGGGGTGGTTTTTTTCATACATGTACATTCTTTCTGTTGGGCTCATTTCACAGACAATACTGTTTGCTTCCTGAGCACGCCCCAAAACATCACAGACATAAAATCACCACAAGAAAAATGCCCATAGTTAAAATCAGGGACATGATTAAAAAGCTCTTTTACTAGAGAAGAATTTTTTTTCCCCCTATTACAGACTTTATATGGGTCCAGTTCACATTTTTAGTGGGCTACACACACTGCATGTGACTTGTTTCTAGAAATCAAAGCATACAGAGATGAGCTTATAAAAATACCACAGTTTTGGTGTGTTACCTTGATTTCTTCAGGTTTGGGGCTACCTAACCCATCTTCCACCTCCATTTTGAACTCAGCAAGCTGTGTTGGGACCATGCTGACCATAGGACTCTCCATCATGCCCAGGGTGGTCACAGTCTCTGAGCTTATTCCGTCTTTGTAACTCATCACTGGGGAGAAGGCAGGGTGCTGTTCTAAAGAAGGTGGTGTTGGGAACATCCTTTGGAGATCTGCCACAGCTAAAGACGATGGAATAACACACTGTTAGTTATTAAATTACCACTTCCCAAGGAAATGCAATGAAACAAAATAGACCAACCCAATGATAGCTCTTATTCCATCAGTTAAAACCCAGCAAAGGTTCTACAGACATATGGAGTTCTGAGAGCAGCATAAACCTAGATAAAAGGTCAACTCCTAGGGAAAAATTCCAGCAATTCCTGGGGATATTTTGCCAGTTTGTTGTGCAGCAGAAAGAATGAACTGGTAGACACACAGATTTCATGTACAGTTTGGCAGCAATAAATTAATACTTCAGAACAGAAGAGCTGAACTGACATTAATGCAAAGTTCACCCAGCAGCTGTTTCTAAGGAGTCACAGAGTGGCTTCTTCCCTCTTCCAAGGCTGACAGCAGCCCTAAATCAGGAGGCCTTTGGGATTAGGGTGCACTGAGCTGCATTTCTCCTCTCCTACACTCGCTGCAGCCTCATTTGGTCCATGGCAACACAACCCCTGTTGCTGCACAAACACGGGCAGTTTTGCTGAAGAACCAGACTCCAAAGTGCCAAGTGTCAGAGGAAACCACAAAATTATCATTTTGTACCACAGGACACTAAGTCAGGAAAATCCCTCAATTACTTCTCAGAAAATGAGAGCAATGGAATCATCCACTGCCCATTTTTCTCTTTAAGCAAAACAACCAACCCCAGCAGAAATGCTCAGTACAGTGTAATGTAATCGAAGACAAATCACAGCAAAGACTTTTATGTTCTCCCCAGCTCCATTCTGTTTCCTTCCACATTTATTCTGTGTGAAATTCAGAGTAAATGTTGCATTCTCCTGACTGGAATTAGGGCAGATCCTCTCTGGACAGAACCATCCCTCTGGTGAACCACTGAGATCAGGGAAGGGTGAATTCCCACAGGTATCCCTTCTGAAACACCTTCTGACAGACTAAATCCCAATCCCACTTCCACACCCAAGCTGACAGGATATTCTTGTATTCAACGACATTTGCAGCCTAAAGATTATGGAAAATTCCTAAATCCATAGAGGGATTTCTGACTGGTAAACACTGTGTTGTGGAAACCCAAACTGTACCCAAAAACTAACTGAAAAGGGCAGAAATAAGTGATAGGATTAGAATTATTTATAATGTGTATGAACATGTGTAGGAATTCCTGCAGTAACAGCACATTCTGTAGGGTGCTGCAGCCCCAGGATGTGTCTCCACTCTGCCCTAACAGAGCCAAACCTGCATTTGATGCTTTTGTGCCCAGGGGTGACACAGTCAGGCTGTTTGAGAGCAACAACTCAAACAGGTGAGGTCCCCTCAAAACGGACTTCTTTTGGTCTCAACTGTCAAAGCTGAACCCAAAGTCCTTCACAGCCTGGAGCAGCAGAGTAAATAATGGGCTGTGAATTATTCCCATTCAGCCCTTTTTCTTTTATTTCCCCACTTTCTCAGTCTTTGAATTCCCAAGGCCTTATTCTTGTCCTGATCCAGGATAAAACGCTGAAAACGGGTTCAGTAGAATGGAAAAAGCTCTTTTCCACCCACTGCCAGTAGGGAATATAATCTTCAGGATGGCAGCTGGATTGCCTACCTCTGGTTTTTAACAGGTATGTTTTAGGCACTGCAGAGGGACAGGAAGGAAGGGTGAAATGAAAGGTGGTCAGCAGGAATTTATGATGCTGGACAAGGCCTTTCAGCTCCCCACAGACACTGTTGTGCCTCCACTGCTGGTGTCAAGGCCACAGCTACAAACCACCAGTGCAGTGTAATTCTGACTTCCCTCACACAGCTCCTCACTGCATCATTTTCTCACCTCCAGCTCAATCCACTTAGCACAACTCTGCAGTGCAGATTCATAAAAAAGTTTAATTACAAAAAGTCCCCCAACCCTACAGCAACAGGCAGCTCTCATCGCTCATTTTCATGTGTGTCATGCTTGAAAAAGCTTTGCATATTTTAAAAAGCTATGGATCAACTAAACCTGTCAAAATCCAATCTCTGTATACTTCAGACTTCTACATTTGAGTAAATCAGCACAGCTTTTATGGGTCCATAAAACTCTGACTCATCTCCCTCAGACTGATTTTTTTCTTCACCTCAATTTGTTCTCATTACCAGCTGAAGTTAATGAGAAGGCATTAAAGAATGATTTGCAGAGAGATTGGATTTCTGCTTGTAGCAGCCACAAAAATCAAACCTTCTTCCTCCTCACCACTAAGTAATTTGTAATTTGTAATTCGATTCGTTAGTGTTACACCGAAAATTCTCACCTTCCTCCTCTCACACAGACACATTTCTCTTTCATCTCAAGAGAAGTCCAACCTAAATTAATACAATCATAGAACTGTTTTGGTTGGAAAAGACCTCTAAGATCATCCAACTGTTCCCCAGCACTGCCAAGGCCACCACTGACCCGTGTCCCCGAGTGCCACGTTCACATGGATTTTAAATCCCCCCAGGGATGGGGACTCCACCCCTGTCCTGGGCAGCTGTGCCAGGGCTGGGCAGCCCTTTCAGTGAGGAAATTTTCCCTAATATCCAACCTAAACCTCCCCTGGCACAGCCTGAGGCTGTGTCCCCTCTTCCAGTCACTCCTCACCTGGGAGAAGAGCCCGACCCCAGCTGACTCCACCCTCAGAGTAACAGTTCTCATTCCCAGTCGTTGTTGGCACAGTGCTTACAAAATCTGCATTTCATACAATCTCAGCATACCAAATGTCATGTCTAAGCTCCCTGCACTGCCACAGCCTGCCCTGTCCATGTGCTGTGCCTGCATCCCTCCCACAGCTCTCTGCAAAGGTCTCCAACCTGCCTCCAGCCAGAACCTCGTCCTGTGATTTTCATCCTGCACTTCCAGATGAAACCCTGAGGGCGATTTTAGTTTTAATTTGTCAAATGCTCAGTGCAATTTTCTTCCAGAGACAGGTTGCACCATAATGGCCACTTGGTAAGTCACAGGTTTATATTCTTTGATTTTGTTAATCACAGAATATGCTGAGTTGGAAGGGACCCACAGGGATCATCCAGTCCAGCTCCTGGCTCTACCCAGGACACCCCAACAATCCCATCCTGTCCCTCAGAGCGTTGTCCAAACGCTCCTTGAACTAGGAGAAGGATTTATACATAAAGAGGGATATGGAAATGGTGTAAGTGCCCAAAATTAAACACTGAGCTGAGAACAGAGGGGCTGGCTTCCAAATGGAGACTTGTGACAAACCCCTGCCATCCTTCCAGTCCCAGACAATGGAAAAGACCTCAGATCTCAGCAGGGACATTGAGAATCCATGTCTGTGTCACCCTGTGCTCATTAACACCCGCTTCGTTTCCAACACCGCTAATTACAGCAGGAAGCACACCCGAAGGGCCATGCCAGGGGTGTGAGGGGCTGTGGAGGGCACACAGAGCTCGGGGAGGGCACACAGAGCTCGGGGAGGGGCTGGTACTCACTGGGGGGGTACGGAACCGCCGTCCTGCCGTCCTTGCCCACCGGCCGCTCCTCGGACCCCGCCGGCGGCAGCTTGGAGGAGCGAAGGGCTGGGGACACGGCCTGGGAGCAGGGAAAGCACACCATCAAACATCCAAACCACCGAAATCACAGAGTGTCAGACATCCTGAAACCTCCCCAAACACCACTGCACAGCACAGAAAACAGGTGCTTCTTTTTTACTTCTATAGCAGCCTCAAAAAATCGAACCTTCTTCCTCCTCGCCACTAATTAATTTGTAATTTGGTTCATTAGTGTTACACCAAAAAGTCTCACCTTCCTCCTCTCACACAAATACATTTCCTTTTCACCTCCAGAGAAATGCTAACTACCAAAATCAGAAAGTATTAGAAATTCTGAAGCCTCTCCCAGTGCGATTTCCCAGGAAAGAAAACTTTTCTACTGCCCCGCCCACTCCCCCCAAGGAGCCTGGATTTCTTTTTCCCCTCTTTCAACACCAAAGTCTCTGAAATATTTGCCTGTCTGTACATTCCCCATATTTTGATACATATATACAGGCACATATTTCTATACACACACAAACTGTATTGAAAATGTTATCACAAACCCTGAGCTTGAAATGCTCGTGACTACTCCACACCTTTCCATGGCTGGATCACTCCAAGACAATAATGGGAATATGGCACAGACTAAGCCCAACACATGCAAGTTCCAAGACAGGAAGAGCATTAGGGCCAACCTCACAGAAGAGGGTGATTTTTTTATTTTCACAGGACAGTCCTCCAGGAGATTTGCAAATTAACTATGACATCTGAAGTGGAGCTTGTGTGGAACCACAGAAAGTAAACTGCTGCACTTCCAAAGTCCTGCCAGCAACCAGACATTAGACTTTTAAACATATTATCCACCAGCAGTCAGTTTAGGATCCCCTTCTGTATCATTATGGGTATATTAGTTTATTATGAAGATAGCAACTATTCAAATCTTTGCCTTTCCTGGCAGTTTTCCCTTCATAATGGATATAAATCCACTTTGCCTTTTGTATTTCCTAACACACAGCAACTATTGTTGTCCAGGAATAGAAAGAAAAGTGGCTTTAGAGAGTTACTGAAATCCTGTGAGGCTGAATTTGTCTTTGGGCAGGTTCTCAGAGGAGGTAAAACAACAAATCACCAGTGGACGAAACGTGGATCTTTTCCACATTTCTCACACACAAAATACTGACAGACAACTGTCAGACAACACGAGCTTTGGTGTTCCCTGAGTGAGCTCCTGAAATTCCTGAATTACACACCCTGATGATTTCTCTCTTTGAGGGATCTCCTGAAATGAATCCTCTCTTTGCCAGCAATTCTTCCCAGCTAAAATCCAAGCCTGCCTACCTGGAAACTCTCTCCCTTATCTATTAGGGATAATCGCTCCCCACCAGAATTCCATCCTCCTCCTCCTCCTGCTTTTTGCTGTCCTACAGAACACTCAGTCCTGCAGGGACTTACCCCAAGCTCATCTTCATCTGAATTGTCAAAGATGTTGTCCAGGTCGTGCAGGGATGGAGCCAGATCCGTCACCTGGGTGAGGCTCCCGGAGCCCCCTCGGCCGGCAGCGCCGTCCTGCCGGGTGTCTGCCACAGGGAGAGGGGGAAACACAGGGAAAATGGGAGCACAGGGACACAACACCACCTTCTCCCAGTTGTACTCCCTCAGGGGACAAGCAAGAAGCACTGGGGCCCCTCTGGAACCCAGGAACAGCCTTGCAGGGAAGAGTAAAGCAACGCCTGAAGGACAAAGGGAGCTGCTGCTCACTTAATATTCTAAAATCATATATAATTGTGTTCTTATAAAACAGACAAGCAAAATCTCTTCCATCTCAGGAGCTGCCTACAGCTCTCATGTTACAGTCAGAAGTTCAGGGTGTGATTTTTCCTTCCAGATGTTACTGCAGAGCACTGACTGACTGTTTTTGCTTTGCAGAGCCAATCCAAGAGCTGTTACTCACCAGCCTTAGGGGCAGAACTGAAAATGGACATGGCATCTTTTCCATCAGGAACTGGTGTGGAATGTCCCGTTGGGGGGATTTCCTTGGCACCAATTCCATCTTCTGGCTGTACAAAAAAAAAGAAAAGCCAAGAGTTTTTAATGGATATTATCATATGTAAGAACAACTGCTTTCCTATGTCAAGCCAAACTCAGAGCTGTAAATTAAATGTTTTGAGGAGCAAAAAAAAATTTAAGAAGGGAGAAGAACACAGCTGTCTGCTGTTTACGTACACAGGAAAAACATGGAATAACACTGTGTATGACTTACAAAGGATTCCACGTACATGGCATTAGCTCTGACAGCCAGTACAGGGAATTAACCACCTCAAATTCTCTAGAAAAGACACCTTTCAGAACGTGAAGTGTGGTGAGGGCCTGCACAAGACCAAGGGAGTGAGCAGCCAGACACTGAAACAGCTCCAGAGGGAATAAGACACATAAGGAGTTATCTTCACGAAGAATGGGAATCAAATTGTTTCTTTCCCATGTGGAAAAACAGCTCCAAGGGAACAGCCAAACTAGTGCTGTCTCTCTCCCACAGCCTCTCAGCAGAAGGATACTCTCCTTTTGCCCAAGAGCAGGAAAAAATTTGGGCTGGAGAGACCAGAGCTTTGCACTGAGGTATCTGTCAGGCTGAGGCAAACAAGGGAAAAAACCAAAACACCAAATTCTTTCATCTCTGCAAGTGAATATAAGGCTCAAAATCTTTTAATTCTTAGCTTAAATCTGGAACTTGCTGCTGGCCAAGCTGAATATCTGTTTATCTATCCATCCATCCATCTGTCTATCTATCTATCATATAGATATATATTGCATTCATATCATATAGATATTCAGCTGGCCAAGCTGAATATATATGTATGTATGTATCTATCTATATGTATTCAGCTTGGCCAGCTGAATATCTATATAAATATAGATATAAATTTGTAGTTTTATATATATATTAAAAAATATATAAGTAAAAATATGTATATATGCAGCAAACACCAGTTCAAAAATACCACAATTAAATTCATTTTTCCCAGAGCTGGTGCAGGAAAGAAACACAAAACCACACCACCTCTCTGATTTTGACCCGTGGAACAGGTCTGTGTCTCCCAGAGAGCTGTGGAGTGAATGCTGTGCCACACCACAGCCCCAGTGAGGACAGCAGTGACCAGGACTCTGCATTCACACACTACCTTGGTCTTCTTCGAAGGATCTTTCTCGGCCCCAAGTTTGCACTTTTTGTTGACGGTGAAGCTGTACTTGATGTCCCCATCCTCAAAGGTGTAGGGGTCACTGGTGTCCCCCCAGCCCTCCCCAGGCTGCTGCAGCAGAGGCAGAGGCTCCAGGTAGCTCAGGGGCTGTGCCGGCTTCTGCTCTTCCAGGATTTTGAACCGTTTGTTGGGCTGTGCCAAGAGCCTGGGAGGGAAAACAAACCAGCAAAGGCCCCGTGAAACAAAAGCAACACACCTTTCACAGCCAGCAAAAACCAGCTCCCAAGGTCTGCAGCCGTCCCACAGCTCACTCCTTCCCCCTTGATCCAGCAGAAAGATGGGTTTTCCCCTCAAATAAAGGATGTACTTGGCTACATTTAGTATTAAATATTTTACTGTACTGAGACCTACTTTAGGACAGTGAAAGAAGAATTAATGTTGTCACTATATAAATGAAAACACTTAGAAATACAGCTTGGGAAGGCCGAGCAAACTCCACTGTAACTACCAAAACCAGTGTTCTTATAACTCAAAAATTCTTCCTCAGTTAATTTTTGCTTACACATATTCACTAACTACTCTCTCTGGTGCATTTTTTAAATGCACTGTCAGAATGCAGGAGTAATTTTTAAGTTGGCATAAAATAAATTTAAATTCTCCCAATAAAGTCGTAAACGAATAACTTCCTTTGCATAAAAGAAAATCTACTTATATAAAAATAAAAATAGAAGGAGACAGCTAAAAATTCCTTAAAATGTAGTTGTTCATGGTCTTCACTGAGGCAGTCAATGTGTGTTAACTGTAATTAATTGAAGTGTATTTACAGGAGATTTGCTCTTTGCCCCACAGGGGCTATTGGGGCTTTGAGTTTCCATCCTCCAGAGACTGAAGTTACCCAGCAAAGCTCCCACCAAATTCAAAGTGGGGTCACAAAAGGCAGAATTATTCCATACTGAAGGAACAGTTACTACTCACAGAAGGTGTGGCACAGTGCAGTTTTAACCCCACACAACTGGACAAACCCCACTGAAGAATCAGAATTTCACTCCAAACCAAGCCCTTCTGCAGCCGAAGGTTGCACATCTCAATGTATATTTTGTTTTGTTAAATAATAAAAAGACACAAGCTTAAGAGAACTCTTAACATTTGCTCAAATTCTCTAGTGTAGGCCACAACAAAATTTTGTCAGTTCTTATAACATCCAGTAGAAAGCCAGACATGGAAAAGAAAGTCATCCTGCCACAGGAGCTGCCCATGGAAGTGCCAGTGTTCACCTCAGCATCTGTGGGGGTGCAGTGGAGCCCTCGACTCATCTGAGTGTCAGTAAAACAGTTTGGTCACAACCAGAGCTCGCAGCCCCCCTGCCCTCTCACCTTTTCAGTGCAGTGCTGTCGGGGTTCACTTCCATCTTGCCGTCATACCTGTCACAGGGCAGCTCCGGCGGCCGGAACTCGCCGTCGTCGCTCGAGGGGACACTGTAGGTCCTCCACACGTCCCCAGCCTCGCTGCTGGGGGCTGTGCCACAGTACAAGGCTGTCTCGCTGACCTCTGCCATCAGAGGTAACCTCTGGCCCACCAGGACTGTCCTGTCGTCCAGGCTGGGCAGGGGCTGCAGCTCCAGCCCGCTGCCGTACAGCGCTGGGTTGACGGGGACGGAGGGGGGGTCCAGGCTCTCTGCTTCCTGCCCTCGGGGCTGGGGGCTCAGAGTGGGGGGCAGAGGGGAAGTGGGGGAATGGGGTGAATCCATAGGATTCATATTAATTTGCTTGCTTGGATTTCTAGCAGGTAGAGAGAGCGGTTTCTCGTATTTCCTGGGATTCGGGACGTCCAAGGAGGGCTCCATCCCGGCCAATCCCAGTTTCTGCCCCGGCGTGTCCTGCTCCATGCATAGCTCTTCAGTCACAGAGGGCCGGTGGTGGAAGGGCATCATGGGCCTCTTTTGCAGCTTCTCTGCTTTCTCCTGCCTCTCGGTGGTTTTGTGCTTTGAGGAGGCAGGAGGGGGCAGTGCCGAGGCTGCCGCGGCTCCCACGCCGAATCCGGGCGGGTTTATCGTGGGGGGACGGCTGGAGCCGGCGGCACAGCGCTGCTTCAACACCTTGTGCCTGAAAGAGAGGCAGAGACAACTCACTCCTGGTCTGTGCAGTCACCTGAGCTCAGGGGAAAACCAAAGCCAGGCAACAGCACCGAGAAATCTCCCGTCTGATCCCGCTCTTCTAACAGAGCCCGGGATGGTCCCACGGGCGGGACCAGCTCCTGCAGCTCCTCTGACCCATAAATGGAAAAGGAGAGTCTCCAGAAAACAGCATTCAAGGGAAAGAGCTCATGTACAAAACAGCTCAGCTGGAAGGTAATTAACTAAAAAATTCCAAGTTGCTGTTGCTTTCATTGCCATAAAGCAGGTCAGCCTTTCCAACTGGGACTGCTGTGGAGCTCCAGCCCTGCTCCTGGCTCCCTCTGGAGCAGCAGGATTGGCTTGGGAATGTTCACAGACTCAAATCCATTTCCTCCTCCACATCAGGTAAGGGAAGATACCTTCCACACAACTCCAGTCCAAAACCAAACCAAACCCACACACAAAATAAAGCGCTTTCTACCTGATGAAGAAAGCATTAATAAATATTTTAAAATATTCAAACAAACAAAAAAAAGACAATCTTAGTACTGGCTTCGTATTTTAATATGGCTTTTTTTCAGTTTGTACCCAGTATCTTTGAGACTGGGAAGCACAGGACTGAATTTCAGTGTTCCAGGTGCTGCTAAACAGTATTTTCATCATACTGATGATGTTCTCTGAGGATGTTACAACAGGGATTCTGTTGTAACTGTCCATACTTTTATTGTTCTTTTCTGTTGTTGAGGTTTGGTTTTGTTTGTTTTGGTTTTTTTGTTTAGTTGTTTATTTGGTTTTATAACCTAAGCAGAAATCAAAAGACGTGTTGTGCTCAACACTGAAACCTGTTTAAAATTAAACAACATTTCAAAATAAATCACTCCATCCCTGTCCTACGAACAACAGGACAACAAAAACCATTTCAGATCACATAATAAGGTTTTAACTCACGGAGATAAAGTCCGGGATCACAAGTGAAGAGGATCAGATGGGTGAAACCCAGCCCTGTCCAAGGGACCAAACACACCCTGTGCTTGCTGCCCCTCTGCCCTGCAGCCATCCCTGCTGGGTGGGGCTGTCCTGGCTGTTCCCAGGACACAGCAGATGGAGTGTGGTGCAATCACCCCAGCGTGGAGCTGAGGCCCTGGTAACTGCACATTTGCCTTAAGCGTGTTCCTGGAACATTTCATTGCCTTAATTCTCCATCACTCCCCGGATTTTCACCGACTGCAGAGGATGATTCCAGACATTCTGCTCTTCACACACCCAGCCGGGTCCAGAAAGGTGGAATTTGATGCTGAGCACCACAGAGCCCTTGCAGACTCCAGATTTAAGATCAGCTCTTGACATTTACACAGCACAGGGGACGGGCACGGCAATGACTCAAACAGCATCTGTGTGACAGCAGCTGTCCAGTGTCTGCAGCTACCCAGGAAATATTTACTGCTGTTGGAAATCAGGTACTGCCTTCATTTTAAGGACAATATTTTCATCTGCCACCTGCCTTGTTTACTAACTCCAGCAGGATGCAGGTACCACTGGAGGGATGAGAAGACAGAATCAGGCTTCCACTGCCCATTATTGATTCCCCATGCTTTCCAGGCCAAGCTGGACCTCAGTTTTCCATAGGAAACACTTGGCATTCTGACAAAACATCCACCTATTCTGCACTCCTGAGTGTGTAAATACAAGCACCAGGTAACCAAGGGTAAAGGGCTGCAGAAAAACAACCTCTCCCTGGGCATCCAGCACGGAGCCTCCAGGCTGAACACTCTGCCCTCACATGAGGCACAACCCCTTCATCTCTTTCACACAAAGAACTTAAGGAACAACTTCTTTTGGTAAAGAGGCTTTTATGACCTATCTCATAAGTGGAAGGATTTCAGCAGAAGTAGCTTCACAGGACTATTTGGCTGGAAACTGTGGGGTTTTTTCTAGCCCTGTAACATCTCTGATAGTTTTAAGAACAGTGGTGCTGGTTTGCCTTTCCTCAATGAGGAGCACTGGAATTTTAAGCACCCATCAAAGATGACATAATTGAATAAACTCCTCAAGTGTTTGTGTAAGTGAGCTGTGGTTTCTCTTTGATCAGCTGACAGTGGATGGTGATGCTACAAAGGTTTAATATCCTCCTGGATGATTTTCGGGGTCATGGCAGATTGACTAGAGATGGTTTTCCCCTCTTCCTCCAAACAGGGACAGTAGCACTATCCCTTAATCAGGATGCTCAGAAACAGCCAGTGCCCCTCTTCATTCACAAGCCTCAACCACTCCAGAGGTTAAAGCTCTGAACAGCCTGAAGGATGAGTTCATTAGGAATGAGAACAGTTGGAGTGATCCTAGACTTGAGATGATAATTTTTCCACTTGAACTGACTCCTGCAAGTGACAGTGGTATGAGATGCATATTAATCACCCAAATAGGAGTGATGATCACAGTTTTGACACTAGAATTTCCTCTTGTCTCAGCTAAAACATAACTCCCTTCTCTAAGTGTCCCTCTGAACTAAACAGGGTTCTTCCAAATGCTTATTCTCCTCAAAGCTCACCTGGAACAAGAACAACTGACTCTTTGGACTGGATCCACAAAATCCCATGAAACAGTATTGTTAGGAACTTCCTCTTCCAAATTTGCAGTTGTAATTTGATTCCTCCTGAGAGGGAGAGAAAATTATTTTAGTAATCATCACCTTTTGTAAAACAAAACTTTATAAATGCAGCACATGCAGAAATTCACTTTGTTCCCCTCAAAGAAATTCCTTGACCTTTGAAACAGGTGGTAGATCCCTGTACTGTTCCTTAGAAGTTGTGGTTTGATTTCTGTGGGAGGAAGGTCCCAGCTCTGCATCAGACAGCTCTGTCTGGAGTCTGAGCACAAAAAGCAAGGGGCAAGCAATTTAAACTGAACCTGGAAACTCTTCTGACTTATCCAACGAGGAAATTGTAGGGAAAAAGGGAAAAGTAAAGATTTCAGGGCACACTGTGCCGTGATTTACTTCAAATCTCCAGTAACAAAGGCCTCTGAGACCAACATCAGTTTACCACATCCTTGCCAACTGAAATTTTAGTCCAGCTCATGTAATGTAAAGCTTTACAAATATTACCCTTAGAGCCCTAAATATCAAATATATACTATTTGTTCTGCAGTAACTACAACTGGAGACAGAAACTGCAACCTGAGAGCACCCAACTGAAGGCACATCCTATGGATGTGCAGCCTCAAGGACACACAACAGGAAGGGTCAGGAGTTCTCAGCTGAGCACAGGGACAAATTTCCTCAGCTTTGAGTGGTGGCAAAAGAATTCTGTGAGGAATAAAACCATGATATATGATTTTAACTGTCATAAATGAGTAAAGCCATGAGGACTGACTTGGACTGTGCCCTGTTGAGGATGCATTCCTTCCAGACACGGTGAACCATTCGGTTGTGGAATTTTGGAGTAATCTTGCTTGATTTCTTTGGACTGTGGACACTGACTGTGCCCTCCTGCACAGCTGAGTGGCTGAGGCTGCTCTGAGAGCAGCCACTTTCTCCTGCAACAGAAACAAAGCATTCATGTCAAAGCTGTTCTTCACAGGCACAGGGGATGTTGTTTCCTGGCAGGCCCTTGTCAGGGTGCTCACACTCCCCAGGGAATGCTCAAAGCACCCTCACAAAACACATTTCAAAGCAATTTGAGGTAACAAATATGGCACAAGGTTGTACCAGGTACATGGGCAATACTGCACCCCATGTGATGCAATATGCTGTATATTATACATCTATATTTTATACATCTATATTTTATTTATATTATATATATACACATATATATTTATATATAATAAATGGAGGTATTTTAGATAGCCCCTAAAGCCCTGGATAGAATCACTAAGAAATAGTGCAGACAGAGCTTTTTTACAATAATTCTGGGTGTTAAACTAAAATTTATATAGTCTTTGGTGAGTTGTTTAAAGATTAAATTTACTATAGTAAAAATGGTTCTAAAAGCATCTATTAAGAAAACTAATCATTTATGTAGACTATTTCAAAGTAAGGATCAGTTCTTTATACTCAATATAAAACCTCACTGAAAAAAGAAAGGATTAGTGTGATCTCTGCTCTGGAGCCAGGCTGGGAGAGCTGGGGGGGTTCACCTGGAGAAGAGAAGGTTCCAGGGAGAGCTGAGAGCCCCTGGCAGGGCCTAAAGGGGCTCCAGGAGAGCTGGAGAGGGACTGGGGAGAAGGGATGGAGGGACAGGACACAGGGAATGGCTTCCCACTGCCAGAGGGCAGGGACAGATGGGACATTGGGAAGAAATTCCTGGCTGTGAGGGTGGAGAGGCCCTGGCACAGGTTGCCCAGAGAAGCTGTGGCTGCCCCTGGATCCCTGCAAGTGTCCAAGGCCAGGGTGGATAAACTTGGAGCAACCTGGGCTGGTGGGAGGTGTCCCTGCCCATGGCAGGGGGTGGGACAAGATGGGCTTTCATGTCCCTCCCAACCCAACCCATTCTGGGGATTCTTTGCTATTTCTTTATACCATGCTTGAATTGAGATACCAAACCTGCTCTGCTAAAGTTTTACAACTGAGAAGCACAGAAGTTCTCAGCAGCTGATCATCAGTACATATAACACACACTATTAACACAGATGTGAGGCTCTCAGTATGTGGTATCCGTGTTGATTATCAAAGAGATAACAAAGATATCACCCAACACGCTGAGAGCCTGAAAACCCTTGGCTTATGCTCTGCCCTTCCCTTCTCCCTGCCTGTGCTGCAGAAGCCATTCCAGGGACTGCAGGAGCAGACGTTTCTTTTCCTCCCATGCCGTGTTTTTGTTTAGATCCCTGAACTCCAGCACCCCCACCCTGCCAAGCCCGAGCTGCAGCAGCAGAGGGAGCTTTGGCTCCGTCTGGGCTGGGGGAGCCGGGAAGGATGTGCTGCATTTTAACAAGGTCAGCTCAGTGCACAGAACACTTTGTCCTCCTGCCTGACGCAATGCAAGGGCTGAGGGGACTCACTGCTGCTCATCCCTGCAGCCACACGGGCATCCTGCTCCCTTCCAGCAGCTGACTGGCAAAACACAGCTTTTAAAAGCTGTGCACAAGCTGCCCAACCCTGTATCTTCTTTGGTTCCTCATGTTATAGATTTACTTCTCCAGTTAGACCTTCCCTGGTTATCTTCCTGCAAAGTCAAGCCCCTAAAACCCTGGACGTGTTGTGGCTCTTACCATGTATTCCCCTGGGTTTTAAATGTTCTGTAACACTGGGAACTTGACAGGTGATCAAAAACCCAGGTGGAAACTTCAGAATTAACAAATCCATCCTCCTCTGGCAAAGGGGGGGAGGAATTTGTGCATAAAGACAAACATAATGTGCACACAAACAAGCATCCTGTACTCTGCTATAGAATGCCAGATGCACCATACATGGCAACAGCAGGAGGAAAATAAAGTATGATGGGAAAATAGGGTTAAAAGAGACCTGAAAAGATCATCTAGTCCATTCCCTGCCTCAAAGCTGGATTAATATATTTGACTAACCTGTTTCTTAAAAACAAACACAGAAAATTCCCCCAACAAACCCCCCAAAGCCCACCACCCCTCTGCTGATGGAACTTCTGTAGCCTCCCAACAGCCAATTATTCCAACACTTCATCATCCTTCCTCAGAGCAAGTTTTCCCTCCTGTTCAACCTAGTTTTGCTCTGCTCCAGTTTAGGTTCATTACATATTGGTTGCAGAGAAAAGCCTCCTCTTTGATTCTCTGAAGGCTGTTACACCACCTCTCCTTCAAATCCTGCTTTTCTAGACTAAACAACCTCAATTCTTTCCATCTTTTCCCAACTGGACACGGCACTAAACCCACATTTCAACTGGTATTGGGCAGAACTGAAGTGTTATTCACGTGCCTCAGGCTAACCCAGTTTATTTATTCCATTTGCTGATTCTGGACTGTGTGGCACGTTTTTTCCAATCCATTTCTCCAGTTTTTCAATGTCTTTTAAAATGGTTTTTGATATAAAATAAAGGGATCCTTTCACTGCTTGCTGGAGAGGCACCCCTGTGATAGGAATTCATATTGCCCTCAAACAATAGCAGAGATCAAACAGAAGCTGTGACTGCCAGATTGGACAACAAGAACACTTTTATATAACTGATAGTTTATAAATATTCAGCAAGAGAATCCCCCTTGTGATATTGTACAAGTTGAGAAATTGAAAAATACAATAGCACATTAAAACATGCATCAATACTTGAATAGAGACTTATTTGAACGTTGATTGTCTTGCTTCAGTTTGTTACTAATTAGCTTTTTGCTTATTTTAACTACCAATTCCCCTGAAAAACACTATTCCAAGTGAATTTACACCTCACATTCTGCATTATTAGCAGTAAATATTAAATACTTTGTCTTCATCTGCAGGCACCATTCATGGACAAGTGAATCCAGACATGTTTTTCCATGGCAGAGAAGTCAACAATCACTGTTTTTCTTTGGCTTTGCATCAAGATTCAAAGGTTGAGAGAGCTGGGGGAGGAATTGTATCAGTGTACACAAACACCTGACAGGGAGAACAGACAGGATATAACCAGTGAAAGGGGAAGAGGGGATGGGCATCAACTGAAACACCAGGAATTCCATTTAAACCTTCTCCTGTGAAGGTGGAAGCCACTGGAACAGGCTGCCCAGAGAGGCTGTGGAGTCTCTGTCCTTGGAGATACTCAAAACCTGAGTGGACAATGTCCTGGGACAACCTCAACTACCTTGTAACTCTGTTACAATGGCAAGTCTGTAAAGAGCAAGTGCAGAAGATAATCTACACAGGAAAAAAAATAATTAGTTGTAAAAATACCTTCAAAACACAGTCTGCAAAAGAAATAAAAAAATCACATAATTTCTTTTTTCTATGTCAGTTGTTTTCTTCTTTATTATCTCAGAAGTTTGCACTCAAACAGATGTTTGACACCTCTGTTCCTGAGCTCCCATTTGAAATGGCAGTTCTGAATTCTTCCAGCATAACCACACTGAGAACCACTGATCATCTTAAGGCCCTGACTGTGTTCCAGGTGCTGACAGGGTTAGATATTCATTCTCATGTCTCAGGAGGCACAGGATACACACATACACTTCAACCAGATGAGATATTAAGGACCTTGTACCCCACATGCCAAGCACTTGGACGGTTGCTGAGATCAGAACTGCTGGGGATCCACGGAAAAGGACACACTGTGTGCCCACAAAACATGGAACTGCCATGCAGGACTCCATGTGCCATCTGCACGTGATGCCAGCCCATGTTGGACCTCCTTTGGGAAGCCCAGCTCCTTCTTAACCATTCCAGAGGCTTAGGAATTCCTTTCCAATGGCCTTTAATCAAAACCAAGCTGTGTTGGGCAAAAAGAGCAGCTAGAATTTGCAAGTTTTTATGATACCAACGTAAGTGCTTAGTTAAGTGCTGAATTTCTAGTTCTTTATAAAAAGAGCTACCTACTCTTGCACAGGATCACAGAAAGGTTTGGGTTGGAAGGACCTTAAAGCCCATCCAGTTCTATCCCCTGCCATGGGCAGGGACACCTTCCACTATCCAAGGTTGCTCCAAGTTTATCCAACCTGGCCTTGGACACTTCCAGGGATCCAGGGGCAGCCACAGCTTCTCTGGGCAACCTGTGCCAGGGCCTCCCCACCCTCACAGGGAAGGACTTCTTCCCAATATCAAACCTGAATTCCCCCTCTCCAAGGGGAAATTCACTGTGCTCTTGTACCACAAAGAATCAACACCCTCCCAACAAGGACACCAACACTCCATAAAGTGGCAAACTCTGCCTAAACCACTGTCAGAATCCAGGCTCTCAGGTCTTTGCACCACTGGACAAAGATGAGGCACTTACAGAAAACGGAGCTTAACTGAATTCTCCAAGCCTGGTTTAAAGGTGTGTCTTCTTTGGGGGCGTTTTAAGCCTTGGCTACAGCGAAAGTTCTCCCCTAACTCTCAGTCCCCTGCCTGCCTTTGATGTGCCCCTGTTCACACCCCACCCCTCCCTGCCCCAGGCTCAGTGCTCACCCAGAACAGCCTGCTCCGGAGAGGTGGGGGGAGTGAGTGGCATCCCACAGGTACTGGCAGGATCCTTCACGCTTCCCAGCCCCTGCTGTCCCACATTTACGTGGCCTCCGGCACTGGCAGCGCTCTGTGACACGGGGATGTCACTCTGGGAGATGAGAACAAAGGCTGAAGGATACACCATCCTCACACCACCTGCGGAGAGAGGGAGGGAAAACCATGAAGTCTTAAACACAACTGATCATATCCAGCATTCTCAGCCGCTTGCACTTGTTCCCAACGTCGATTTGACAAAACTTATCATGTGAAATATCAAAAAAATATCCTAATACACATCTAACCCTCTGCAACCAGGACTGAGCTGAGACAAGCAGCTCAGCACTGTGAATAATAGCATGTGGGATACAGGGAGTACAAAAGCTTGAGGCAAGATAACTAGTCAGATGTTCCAGTGTCAAGAGAGGCTACATGAGAATATAGGAAAATTATAATGGCTGGTTTTGATTAATTAGATCCCCCCCCCCAAATCACGAGGAGGAAAATATTGAAACTCACCAACAATGACTTCGACTGCCACAGGGAAATCATTGTCATAGCCCAGCTCCTCCTCCTCTTTCATGCCTTCTTTCTTCTTCAGCACCATGGGGTAGAAGTACTGCCACTCCTCCATCAGCTTCCGCGTGGCTGGGTCAGACATCTTGTAGGACTGGCCCGTGAGGGTCCCGTTGAGCCCGTAGGGACTCACCAGCACTGCAGAGGGACAGACACAGCCCTGCAGCAGCTCTGGGGGGGACCTGCACCCCTGCACAGCCCCATCCAGCTGGGAACAGCTCTGCCCTATGGGACCTGCACCCCTGCACAGCCCCATCCAGCTGGGAACACAGCTCTGCTCCTCCCTCTGCCCGGGCAGGGAAGGATCTGGCTCCAAGGGCAGCTGCTGCAAACCTGGGCAGGGTGTGAACCTAAACCTGCACTGGCCCTGCACGGCTCCTCCTCAGCTAAGAAGGGACCTTTCTGCACTTCAGGCCAATAACAATTCCCAGAGTTAATGAATTTCCACTAATTTCAGGGTAGTGAAGCAGCACTATGGCAAAGGGATGAGTGTGCATCCTTTGCTTTCCCAAGGAAGGACAGAGGACAGGAACACGAGACTTCTTACACAACCCAAGTCACAACAAATAAGGAAAACAAGTTGTTCAACAGCAGGGATTTCCATTCCCACTCAGTTTTGCTTTTAGCCATATTTGATTTGAGAGAGCTGTGAATTTTGCTCACTGGAATAAAATCTTCTATGATTTAAGTGCCTGAGCCTCTGTCAAAGCTTTACATTTAGAAACAAAATGTTTTTCAATAAAGCTATAAATTAACATCTCTATAAATGATCATTTTATATGTCTCTGGGTGTGTTTTTTTTTTTTTTTACTCTATGTTGAGCTTTATAAAGATTTCTGCTTTATTTGCTTTGAAATTACGATTTCAGACCGTAGCAAAGACAGCCTAACTCAGTGACTCAAAATCCTGAAGGGTTTGGGTTTTTTTTTTTAATGTAGAGCAACACAGCAAAACTGCATCACGAATTTAACAAGCCATCAACTGAATTCTGTAAAATTCTCATTTCTTACGCTGGCAAGTAAACAGTCACGGATACTTCAAGTTTTTCATTGTTCCTGATACTTTTTCACGCCCTTTTTTAAAAATAGGTTAGTAAATAGTTGACTGGATGAATGGAAAGCACTCCTAAGTCAGATAAGCTCAGAAGCTTCAGATTTGAGCCCAGACATAAAATCAAATCAGTGCACTCACTTCCTTAAACAGTAAGCATTTTTAAACAAAATGTTATTCATTTCTTTGCTTTCCTTGCTATAAGAATGTGCCTTTAAAACCAGTGTTAACAGGTAGAAACTGCTGGAGGATTCCCACACCGTTCGCTGGCTACGGCGTTGAATCCTAACAACCTTTTTCCTTGCATCCCCAACTTCCTGAGCAGAACCTGAGCCCCGAATTGCAGAGAGCTCCCAGGCCAGCTGCCATACCTTGGAAGGGCGAGGGGGAGGACTGTGCCATCTGGATGTGCTCCTCGGTGATCAGGTAGATGGGCTGGTGCTGAGCGATCTCCACGCTCGTGCACACGTTGCTTTCCCCGTGCAGGAAGAAGGTGAAGGCACAGGACAAGTGTTCACTGCAAGAGAAACGGCTTTATTAGCGTGGAAAGGAACTCTGAGCAGGCTGTGCCTCCAAACACACCCCCTCCTGTCCTCAGGCTCACTGCTGATTGATAATCAAATGTGACAGAAGGATCTGTCACTGCACAAATCACTGACAGTGCTGGCAGCTGCCTCAGAGACGGGTCTTCCTACTGGTTTAAAATTATAAGTTCATTACAGACAAATGGGATTTGAACCAGGAGTCAAGCAGTAAAAATAAGGGTCTTCAGAAATTCCTCTAAGTTCTAGTCAAGTTGCAGTCCAGTTCTAATTCAAGTTCTATTCAAGTTCTATTCAAGTTCTATTCAAGTTCTATTCAAGTTCTATTCAAGTTCTATTCAAGTTCTATTCAAGTTCTATTCAAGTTCTAGTCCAGTTCTAGTCCAGTTCTAGTCCAGTTCTAGTCCAGTTCTAGTCCAGTTCTAGTCCAGTTCTAGTCCAAGTTCTAATTCAAGTTCTAATTCCAGTTCTAATTCAGGTTCTATTCCAGTTCTAATTCAAGTTCTATTCCAGTTCTAATTCCGGTTCTATTCCAGTTCTAATTCAGGTTCTATTCCAATTCTATTCCAGTTCTAATTCAAGTTCTATTCCAGTTCTAATTCCGGTTCTATTCCAGTTCTAATTCAAGTTCTAATTCCGGTTCTATTCCAGTTCTAATTCAAGTTCTAATTCCGGTTCTATTCCAGTTCTATTCGAGTTCTATCCAAGGGAATAAAAAAAGGGAACCTGAAAGGCCTAATACCTCATGAGAATCTCCATTAAGGAACATAAAAGCACATGAATGTTATGAAATGTTGACAGTGGGCTAAGGTGACCCACGGATTGGCCACAGGTTATCCAGTTTAATGTGAAATGAGTGCTGTTGAAAACGTTCTCACTTCATTCTGCCCATGGAACAGCCTCCCATCACAGCAAACTATTTGCTTCAACACTCCTTGCCAGAAAGCCACGAGAAAAAAAGAAAACAAAGCACATTTTGTGCCTTTTATCATCGTTTGAATGGAGTGGAAATGCTCAGAGCTGCAGTGGGAAGCATGCAGCAATGCTCCTGTCCAGTTCAACAGCTGGGCACACTTTGAGGGGTGTTGGCTTTGGCTCCGGGCCATCCTTGGTGGGACCTGGGTTTTAGAGACAGCTCTCACTCCCTTCAACTCTAACCATCTAACAGCCTGTCCTCGCTCCTCTGTGAGCCTCAAAACCTTACCACCAAAAAAGGCACCAAGAAAATGGTCAGCTGAGCAAAATCTGGAGAGAAAAGGTGACTTAAGTGACAGGTGACAACTGCACTTCCTTGGTGCTGCCATCCTGGATTCTGAAGTACTTCAGAGCAATAATTGAATTCCATGAAATAAAAGGTTTCCTTAGATTTTGATTTTCATGAGGGAAAGAAGTTGCACCACCCACAGTGTTGAAGAAGTAAATAGATTATTAATTTACATAAGGAGGGAGGGAGGGAACAGGACATGGGACAAAATGGGTCACAGATTCCAGGTATTTCTATCCAGCTGCCTTGCCCCCAGAGGAAAAACAAACCAATTCATGCAATAAAAACCCCTGAACAATGGATTTCTGCACACACAAGAAATACAAAATTAAAGCGAAGCCCAATTATTTAATCAAAGCCCATTAGTTTCCTTGCACAGGATGAGAGCCTTTGATACAAAAAAAGTCTTAACAAATAAAAAACCCCATGAGAAATCTGGTCTAAGATCAAGTGGGGATAATTTCTGCACAGAGTCCACAGCAGCAGGTTGGCCTTTCTAAAGCAGAGAGCAAAGCTATTTGTAAAGGAGGTATTTTCAACCCCTGTCTTTAGGATATTACAGAAATCCTCTGGATTCTGCAAGCTTCCTACAGGGTTTGACTGGGGGTCTTGCTTGGCTGCTACTGAACTGAAGAGAAAAAACTGCCTTTTGGGACCACACAAGGACCCTTTTGAGTCTCCTGCAAAGTGGTCTGGCAGGAACAGACCATGGAACATTCACAGCTCCCCATAAACACTGTGAGAATGAGAAATACACACAGGCAGGGGCTAAAAGACAACAGATTCATGTTCTTGGAGGGAAGGGAATGCATGCCAGGACTTTCAACGGAGAATCATCCAACACCAGAATTAATCATTAAGATCAGAACGTTAGCCTGGGAATAAAAGTGTATAAAACTAATTGTAGGGAGAAAGGTACACGGGTACAGTATTAGCCCATTTTGCTTTCCTGCAAATAGGCCAGATTAAAGAATAATAGGAATGAATATTCCTGCTGATGCCCAGCAACAAATACTTCACTAGTGAAAGATGGATCATCTCTAGCACTGAATCCAAACTAAATCAGGCTCAGCTCTAGAAAGAGCCCAACAGAACTCCATCACTCCAGTGTTTCTTCTCTTCAGAGCAGAGCTCCTGGAGCTGCTGTCCCTGCTGGCACGAGCACCCCCTGCCCAGCAGCTCAGACTATCCAGCTCCAAGCCCTCTGTGTCCTCCCTGGGCTCCCCCACCCGGCTTTGCTGGAGAAGCAGCAGCAACAGCAGAGTTCAGCTCCTCTGGTTCCAGTCACTGCCATAAGCTCAGCTCTCAGGACCAAAAATAACAAAGATCAAGGCCTGGGGACTTCCTCCCTTCCTCCCAAGTCCTGGCAGATCCCGAGGAAAACGTTTACTTTGGTACCAAAGTGGAATTTCATTCCAAGGAAGTGCTGTCAGCACACTGCTGATCCCGCTCTGGCATGTGCTCCCAGGCTCTTGACATTCCTGCCTGCAGCACAGCTCCCAATTCCTTAAATACCAGGCTGCACAAATCACTCTCACTGCAAATGGGAGCCAGATCTCCCATCAAATCCAAGCAGAGAACCCTCCCCAAGCTCAGAGCAGCCCATCCTTCCCCGCAGCCTGAGCAGGAGGCTTGACCCGGACCCCGCTTTGCTCTGCAGCACATCCAGACACACCTCGGACCTCCAAAATCCCACACATCATCCAGGTCCTCACTGGAACCTTCCAACATCATCAATACCCAGTTTTCCTCCCAGATCCACAATCTTTGCACCAACAAAGGCACCCCAGAAACAGCCAAACACAAAATGCAGATCAGACTGGAGCTCCCAAGGACAGTCAGCACCGTGTTCACACTGATTTGGTATTTTACTTTATTTACATTTCTTTCAACCTGGTTCAAAAACTTAGGCTGACAGGCTTTTGAGAAGCCTCCCCCACTATCTCTGGAGGTTTTTAGACACACTCATTCCTGTATTCATTCTGATCAGATATTCAGAATATCAGAAACCACCAGAAAGGCACACGGGATGGCTGCCAAACTCTCTCCCCTGCTCTACAAAGCCTGTTGTAACACCTTGACTTGTCAGCTCATACCTGTCCAAGTACAATCAGGAAAAGGTCACTAATTTGGCACAGCTGCACTGTCCATTCCCTTTGCACGTATTAATGACTCACACAAGGAACAAAGGCCGGTCACCATCAGGGTTTTGAGTCAAAACTGTGACCCAGAGGAGAGGAAGAAAGGCCAGAAGTGTGAGAGCCAGGTGACCCTGCTGAGCAAGGCCCCAGCCACTCCTGACCCAGGGGGGACAACGGGCCATATATTCCCTAGAAGGAGCTCCAAATCAGAAACCTGGACCAGACTGAAGCACCTAATGCATTGGGAAAACAAATATTGGGGGCACTGAAATTCAATTATTTATGCCTTGGGTGTGGTATGGAGTGAAAATGCTCAGCCATGTCACCGGGAATTCCTCTGGAAATATATTTCAGCTGGATTAATTCAGTATAAACCCTACTGGGATTAACCCTACCAGGGAGAGTTTGAGGGTCTGAATTTCTTGCTTTCCTTGCCTTTTTCAGGCACACAGCCAGTGCCACCACACACAGATTTTCCACGAGAAAATCTCAACACAAACTTAAGTGAGGCCTGCTCTTCTCGTCCTATTCTATAAAAATCAGAAACATTTCAAAAGACTGCAGATCTGTGACAGTCCTCTGGTCACACTGAGCAGGAACTGTCTCCTTTTTTACAGGTGTTTTTTTCAGAAGCCTTTCCTCCTCTTTCCAGGTGCCTGATGGTCAGGATGGTCCATCAGTCAGGATGTCACCTTCCCAAATGGAATGTACACAACATATACAGAATATCTGTTATTTATTAGGGCTGAGGTGTGAAAAATGCTGAGCACTGTGCTCTCCAGCCAGCACAACACCTTGGCATACACTCCCAAGAATATTTCCACTATGGTCACTGAGACTTACATGCTAAAATTAAAATAACTGTTGAAACAGAAGGACAGAAATACAAAGAAATAGCAATGTCACAGAGCCTTTTGTAATGAAAGAAAAGATTTGTGTCCTTCTCCTAAGAATTGCAGGGATTTTTTTCCCCCTGTAACACAGAAGAACCTTCAAATAAAGTGTCAAACCTTCAATTTGGCACCTAATCACCTGCAGCTGCCATCAACTGCTTTTCAGCTGTTTCCTCTGGGATCTTCATTACCTTAAATAACTCTGGAGATGCCTAAAAGTGCAGCTGAATCCCCCTGTCAATGTGATATTTAGGACTTCTCATAATCTTCCTGAATGTCAATCCCTCGGTTGCTATAAATGACTTGAAGAAAATAACATTACATTAAATTTGCTCATATATAAAAAAAAATCAGATGAGGATTAGGAAAATCTGACTGTGTTTAACCAGCACAACGTTGGCAGAGAGAGGAGAACATCTGATGCATTCAGGTACTGTTTCCAGTTGTTGGGAGGTTTGTATAAACACCCACTGGAGCCTGAGAGTGAATTTAAACTGTAAAGAGATTATTTTTAATCACCTCAATGACAAAAATGCCAACTTAAAATCGAGTTTGGAGTGTAGGTACTGAAGCACACCTGTGTATAAAGCCAAACTGAACCTCACAACAGATTTCCACATTTGTCATGTGTTTTAAAATCAATTACCTCAGGAAAACAACAATAAAACCTGCCAGTA